GAATTGCGTTTGGAAGGATTGTATAAAAGTCAGTGAATCATGGATGATCTTGACTGGACTTCGGACGGGAGTGTCGACTCTAATGCACTCCCACCACTTCCACCCTTAGTGATATGGACCAGCAGAAGGTCAACTGTGTGTCCTCCACCGCAGAACACACCAACTTCTGGTACACCTTATTAAGCTCATCACCACGTATATGCCGTTGGTGAGAATGAAATAGCGACCTCAGATGCCTCCTTTGCCTATTATGCAATTCAGCATACCTCATTCAGTCCTTGGAACATACCATCAGTTACCACCAATTTATCGCTAGTTCATCCACCGGCGGACCTAACAGACCGCGTCAGGGACTGTCGAACAGAGTGTCGAAGGAAGGAAGATACAAACCCTACTGAGCTTTCAGCAACAGTTTTCGATAATCCATGTTCGATTCCTATCACATCGGCAATGGAAATTGAAACAAGATCGCGAGACAGCGATAACCAAACTGTCAACTATCCAATCTCAGTTTCAGATCACTACACAGGACACAGGCACGTAGAGTATGACTCGGAAGAAGACAATATTACTCAAGCACGTTTTCCGAAGTAGATCTTCAAAATATCGGACATGTTCCAGTATCTCATCGACCGCCTAGCGTATCTGAAGATGGCAAACATTATGATCATTACAAGCTTAAGAAACAGCATACATTGGCGACGCATTCCGCTGAAGACACTCAACTTCTAGCTGACTTTCCTCAAGATCATACGTCGCTCAGCCAGGAAACCAGGGTGTCACTTGATCGTCAGCATATAATGCGTGACCGTGCAAATTCACAGACTGGAGAACAGCCGCATAGTTGTAAGTACTGCAAAAAATCATTTCCTACTCAATCCCGACTCCTACTGACTGTAGTGCGGATGCAAGTTTTTGAGCTCCGCCTTTCCGGTGCTTTCCAAGATCATCTTCAGTCGTTTTGCATACCATGAGTGAGACCATGAGTGAGAATGAAGAAGTAGACCTTGCTACAATGTCATATGACAATATCCGTGACCTTGCAAGATCCAAGAAGGTGCTCCAAGAAGGTCAATCGAAGCTGAGCCGACAAGAACTTGTGGCGATCCTGCGGACTAATGGAATCGGGACCAACGCAAGCTCTGCCCCAGTAAGTTGTGCTAGCTGTATTTCACTGCATGACTCCCTAGCAAACTTTACAAAGGCCCTTGAAGGCATGGTTATGAAGATGGCTGGTTTCATGGAGATGAAGTCCACCATCGAGCACATACAGCAGGAAATTGCAACGATGAAAAACGAAGGGCAGCAGGAGGGCGCGAAGACGCAAAGCACAGCTAACGTTAGGAACCGTCAGTACGCTACCGTAGCGCAGTCTGCTCCAGCCCCAGCCTGTGAACCCAAACCGTACTCCCACAAACATGTACAGCATCAGTCTATGCAAACTGCCACCGACACCCAGCAGACCAAGCAAACCGACAAACCCGCTCGTATGAGTACTGGCAGCACTGAAGATTCGAACTCGTCCTGGCAAACCCAAGGTCCACGACGCCCAAACCGCCCACGTGCATCAGGTGGGTCATCTTCACATCCCGGCACGAGTGCTACTGGCAGTACTGAACTACATGTACGTTCATCTGTCACATCGAAGTATGTGAAGGAGGTGACTGTAACAGCAGCCCCAGGTGTTCTAAGTGGAGTAGAACGCAAACGCCTTGCAGTGCTGCATGTAGGAAATGTTGAAGTTGGCTGTGAGGCGCAATCTATTGTCAGGTACTGTGCAGATCGTAACATTGACATCATCCGCTGTTCAATTGCCACAAATCGTTATTTCGGCACAGCATACGCAAAAGTTACCATTCCGGCTGATGTCATCAACACCGTACTCACGCCTGCGTTTTGGCCTGCCACCATCGGCCACACAGTCAGAAAGTGGCGCTTCCATGACGAGGCGTCCATGCCGACGAAGGAACAAAGTACTGAAGATTAACCATGGCTAGTAGTAGTAAAATGAACCCAGGCGCAACCCCGTTCTACCCTGGATGTATACGGACACTGTCCCTGAATATTTGCAGTCTACGTAATAAACTTACTGACTTGTCCCAATTGATATCGGACACAAAAACTGACATTGCTGCTGTTTGTGAAACGTGGCTTAACAACTCCGTTCCGTCGATGGAGATGTCAATCGCAAACTATACTTTATTTCGGCTTGACAGGCGCGACAAACCCGGAGGTGGTGTATGTTTGTATGTTAATAACTCACTGTTTAGTCACCTACGTCCCGACTTAACAGCCGATGGCGTTGAATGCATTTGGGTAGAGATCAAAGCTCACCCACAACCTCTTCTTGTCGGGTGTATTTACCGCCCACCGAGTCAGTCACTAGCTTACTGGCAGACTTTCGAGGCCATGTTACACAAGGCATCGGGAGAAGCCAAGAATATTCTGCTTTGTGGTGACTTTAATGTTGATCTGGTCAGTCAATCTCCCACATCCCAGCATGCTTCCTTGCATGACATCACAACCAGCTTAGGCCTGCATCAACTTGTAAAATCTCCAACACGCATAACGCTGCAAGGGAGCTGCACTCTATTAGATCATGTCTATAGTACAGCTCAAATCATATCCCCGCCTGATGTGTGTCCAGTTCCGTTCAGCGACCACTGTGCTATTGCAACCAAGATTTGTGTTAAACCAGTGCCGACAGCATTGCCTTCTCAGCGACTTTATCGAAACTTCAAGAGAATGGACTTGGCATCACTTCGTATGGATATATCTTGCGCCAACCTCTGTGAACTTCGTGGGTCCTGCGATGACATGTGGCAACAGTGGCTGACTAAGGTTGTGCCCATTCTTGATGCACATGCTCCATTGCGCCACGCGTCTTCCCGACCAAGACAGCATTCACCATGGGTCAATGAACATTTGTTCCTGTTGATACGACGACGTAACCACGCTCATCGGAAATGGCTGCAATCTAAGTGCCAGACTGATTACGATGCGTTTAAAGAAGCCAGGCGTATCGTGACTCGTATGAACCGTGAATTGAAGACGAATTTTTTTCAGTCTAAGTTCACCAGTGTTCAAGGTAATCCCAGGAAAACGTGGAAGGTTTTGAACGAGTTATCCGGAAGACAACGTGTTCAATCCGTTCCACAATGCTCTGCAAGCAACATTGGGTGTGTATTTGCTGATGTTGTCAGTGATCAACAACGAGCACCTGAACTGTGTCTTCCACAGGGCCCAGTGGGACCTAAAGGTTTTACATCCTTCAGTTCGGTGTCAATAGGTTGTGTGCGTAAACTGTTGGGTTCCTTGGACACCAGCAAAGCGACAGGCAGTGATGGAATACCCGCATTTCTTCTGAAGTCCTGCGCTGATTTGCTAGCTCCCTCCTTAACATTGATATTTAATGCATCTCTTGCTGTTGGTTCTGTGCCGGACGGCATGAAGTTAGCACATGTCACGCCGGTATTCAAGGCTGGAAATCCTCAAGATCCGGGAAATTATCGCCCTGTGTCTCTCCTGCCAATTGTGTCGAAGCTGTTAGAACGAATTGTCCATAGACAACTATCCTCATTTCTGGACAAGGAGAATTTGTACCCTCCCTGTCAGTTTGGCTTTAGACGTCAACATTCAACGGAAGACGCTCTAGTTTTCGTCACGGACACGTTTGTTCGCGCTCGCGATGCCGGACAAATTACTGGTGCTGTGCTCGTGGATATGTCCAAAGCATTTGACAAGGTCAGGCACCAAGTGCTCATTAATGATTTGTTTGAGCTTGGCATATCTGGTTCAGCATTAGTTTGGTTTGCCGACTATTTGTCCAATCGTCGCCAAATAGTGCACATTGCTGAGAACTATAGCCCTCCTTTCCCCTGCATGTGTGGCGTTCCCCAGGGCTCTGTTCTTGGTCCGCTGCTTTTGTACTCTATGTTCGTTCGATCCAGTCCATTGTCTCCGAGTTTTGTGTGAAAGTTATTCAATTTGCTGACGATATTCTATTGTATGTTTGCGGTACGCAGAAGAATGCGCTTAGCAACTCCCTGTCTGCAGCTGTCTCAGCCATTAGTACCTGGCTGTCAAACCGCAATTTAATTCTAAATGCTCGGAAGACACAAGTGCTCTTCCTGTCTACGCCACATATTACTGACCACCAATTTGCAGTCTACTGCCATGGAGTGCAGCTCAAGCAAGTGACATGTGCAAAGTACCTTGGAATACATTTGGACCAGGATCTTTCTTGGAGCACTCAAGTTGATTCTATGGTCTCCAAACTAGCCAGTAAAATTGGTATTCTGTTCCGAAATCGACACAATATTCCGCTGACTTGCCGAGAAACCTTCGTAAAGTGCCTAGTGTTGCCAGATTTTCTATATGCATCAAATTGTTTTTCTGCTGGCCTTTCCTTAACCCAGTTAGGTAGGCTTGAACGAATGCTAAAGCGAGCTTTGCGTTCAGTGTACGATACTGGTTTTTGTAGCCCATCAAGCCCTTTATTTGCGAGACTTGGTCTAGATCGTTTGGCAACCATGTATTGCAAGAAATTACTGTATCTGACGTGGCGCTGTTTGGAAGGCCGCTGTAGTGTCACATTAAGTCAAATGTTCGAGCGTTTAAATAATGGTCTTGCAACGCGCAGCCTTGTATCACGCACTCTTAAGTTGCCCATGCTCAGAACTGCCTTTGCCCGTCATGGCGCTTCCTTCCAATGTGCTAAGCTGTGGAATGATTTGCACCCTCTAGCTCGCTGTGTGGATAACTCCGCCCGTTTTAAGAAACTGTTACCCCAATGCCTTGCTTTTTCACGCTAGTAATTATGACTTTCAGCTATGCAAAATGCGAACATGATCACCTATCCAATACCGGTAGTCTATTATTATATTAATTATTCATATCTTTTTGCATCTTTCCCTCGAGTGGGTCTATTGTTATTAGGCAATTGTCTGTTATAGTCACCACTATAAATAAAAATCCAATCCAATCCAATCCAATCCCGTCTAACATCTCATGAATGTGTACAGCCAGAAAAGAAAACTTTCAAATGTAAAGTGTGCGATAAAACCTTCAGTACGCGATCTCATCTTGTTAGTCATGGACGAGTTCACTCAGGAGAGAAACCCTTTATGTGTAAGTACTGCGCTAAATCATTCAGTGAGAAATCAAGCTGTACTGTTCATGAACGCATCCATACCGGGAAGAAGCCGTTTAGGTGTGATAATTGTGACCAAGGTTTTTGCGACAGTTCCAACCTTATACGTGATAAACGCACACACACTGAAGAGAAGCAATTCAAGTGTACCGAATGTAAAAAGGCATTTAGACGATCATCACATCTCGCCGATCACCAACGCGCCCATACCGGAGAGATCTAGCTTTCGCACAACGCTTATCACGAATCATCGTTGTACTAATTAACACATTGCAACACAGACTGCTATGAAGGACCAATATGGATAAATAACACTTAGGCACACACACCCATACCTACGCTCGATCCCTCGCTCAACTAAATGCGAGAATCTCATCAGTAAATGCCGTTTCCCTCACCGTCCTAATCATTGGTGGTCACGTCCAGTGTTGTCGTCACGCTGAGTCTCCTACTTCGTCTTTTTTTCCCTAAATTCTTTCTCTGTGACCTTTAATGACAGACTCGACAGGTTGATTATGAATTGGCCTCCGCACTGGAAGGATTCATAGCCTTATTTATTCATACAGAAATCTTATTGGAATAGCGCTCCACCAGATTCCGGTGTTGCTTGGTGTCGCACTCCGATACGACCTGAAAAAAAGGGGTGTAATCCAATGTGCACAATGTCATTCGTATCCTGGAACTCGTCTGGCTATACTCTCTTCTCAGCCGATCATGCTCTATCCTACACTTGGCGATCTCATCACAGACAAAGGCCTTCTGCACTCGTACCGACTGGCGTACATTCACGCGTCTAACTCTGTACTTTATACCCCTTGGTTACCCCTTGGTGCATCACCACTTTAAAAATAAATCCCCAGAACCTGGTTCATAAATTTTGGAGACATTATGGATGACGATGGTGAAGAATAACTTGAGATGTGATTTTTTCCCTGTTGCTCAAAGAACTTCACTTCTTCTATGTGCACAGCATAACAGTGCAAGGTTTCGAAACACCTCACCCATATTATTTTATCTAGCGTCAACATAACTCGATTTACTGGTTTATGAGCCACTATCGCACTTGGCACTATGTACACATCCACAGTATATTCAGTTCTAAATTCATATCTAACATGAAACTGTCCAAAGTTGCACTATCCCTAGTCTGGTGTTGAAGTGTCATACTGAAGTGCATATCAAATCTGGTGTGATCCCAAAGCAGGTGTGAAGGTGAAGGGAAAAATGTAGCGAGTGAACCTGTGGTGTATGTGTGCGTGTGTGTGAGAGAGAAAGAGAGTTCGTTTTTGTACCTGTGTGCATGTGCGCGTGATTATCAAAGTTAATAGTAGAGTGCGGAATGTAGAGTCGTGGAAATGAATATCGACTGCTATGATGTGACGTGATGAGTGAGCACCGAGTTTGCATACGTATATATTCGTTAAAAACTGGATAAAACTAATTTTAAAGCTATTGTCTTCAAGTAAGGAGAGTTCGTTTTGGCATTTGGATATTTGATATTGGCAGATACTTTGCCGTTTTAGGAAGGAAAACCAATCAGGTTGCACGAATTGCATAAGAACTTCAGTAAGTGAATCATGGCTGATTTAAACTGGACATCCAAGGGGAGTGTAGCCTCTGACACATTCTCACCATTGCCACCTTTGGTGATATGGACCAGCAAAAGGTCAGTTGTGTGTCCTCCACCGCAGAATCCACCATCTTATTCTACGCCCTGGTCCTCCCTCGTTATAACGAGTCCGGTTAGTTCATAAACCCCGTTAGTAAATAGAAATCTGAAATCCCCTGCCGAAACGTGGTGTATACAGCTGTTTACAGGTCCGGTTACAACATAATCCGTTAGTACATAAAATCCGTTTTAACGACCCTTTGCCCAGGTCCCTGGAGTGCCAAACCCTCAGTATAAGATAATATTGACCATGCAGGACCAAGGCCAAAACACGTAGGATAAAGCAGAAAGAGAAAACGTATTATGTCTATGTATTCGTGAATATGGACGATCCTTTGCAATGTTTGCATCCAAGGAAGAGTTATATTGGAGATTTTCAATTATCTTATAACGAGTTGAAGCATCGATAATTTATGTTGTATCGAGGGTAGCCCGGGTAAGTACGAAGTAGTGCCTATTTTACCTTTAGCTGCAAGTCCTGCTACAAGATAAGTCTCGTTATAAGATAACTTTTTCGATGGCCCAGAGATTATCTACTAACGAGGGAGGACCTGTACAGCATTTCACAACGCATACGCCGTAGGTGGAAATCAAGTAGCGACATCTGAAGCCTCCTTTGCCCATTCTGCAAATCAGTATACCTCATTCAGTCCTTGGAACATACCATCAGTTACCACCCATTTACAGCTAGATCATCCACCGCTGAACCTAACAGACCGCGTCAGGGACTGTCGCCCAGAGTGCCAGAGGAAGAAAGATACAAACCCTACTGGGCTTCCAGCAACAGCTGTCGAAAATACATGCTCGATTCTCATGACATCGGCAAAGGACATTGACCATAGATCGCAAAACAGCGGTAACCAAGCTGTTAACTATCCTATCTCAGTTTCAGATCATTACAGAGGACACGGGCAAGAAGATTATGACTCGGAATGTGGCGAAGACTCCAACACGTGTCCCGAATTTGACCTTCACAGTATTGGACATGTTTTAGTATCCCCCCTAGGGCCAAGCGTATCTGAGGATGACAAACATCACAGTAGTCAAACGCTTCACAATCAGCATACCTCCGAGACGTGTTCTGAGAAAGATAGTCAACTCCTAGATGACTTTCCTCCCCATCATTCGTCTCAACAATCAGCATACCTCCGAGACGTGTTCTGAGAAAGATAGTCAACTCCTAGATGACTTTCCTCCCCATCATTCGTCTCCACAATCAGCATACCTCCGAGACGTGTTCTGAGAAAGATAGTCAACTCCTAGATGACTTTCCTCCCCATCATTCGTCTCCACAATCAGCATACCTCCGAGACGTGTTCTGAGAAAGATAGTCAACTCCTAGATGACTTTCCTCCACAATCATTCGTCGCTAAGTAGGGAAACTGGGGTGTCATTTGATCGCCAGCATGATGCGTGTGATCGTGCCAATTCACATTCTGGAGAAGAGCTTCATAAATGTAAGCAATGCGATAAATCATTTTCTACTCAATCCCGTCTAACATCTCTTGAACGTATACACACAGAGGAGAAACCGTTCAGGTGTGAAGTGTGCGATAAAACCTTCAATAGGAGATATCATCTGGTCTCTCATGGACAAATTTACTCAGGAGAGAAACGCGTTACGTGCAAGTACTGCCCTAAATCATTCAGGATGAAATCCCACCTCACTGTTCATGAACGTATCCATAACGAGGAGAAGCCGTTTAAGTGTGATCATTGTGACCAAGGCTTTTCCCATATTTCCAACCTTAGAGTTCATAAACGTACACATACTGGAGAGAAGCCATTTAAGTGTAACCTATGTGGCAAGTCATACAGACAAAAGGTGCAACTCACAGATCATCAACGCATCCACACTGGCGAGAAACCATTCAAGTGTAAAATTTGTGGAAAGTCTTTCTCTCAGAAATCCAATTTAACAGTACATGAAATGTTGCATTCCTGAAAGAAACTGATCAACAAGTGTGACTAGTCTTACACTGAAAAAAAACACATATAAAACCATGGTAACACTAACCCCACACAAAAGCTTCTTTGCAACGTTTTGGAAATGTTCATTTTATAATCGTTTTGAAATGAAATTAGCCCCATCTTAACTCCATGCAAAAGTCATTGCTTATATGATGACTTCTACAGTTGTAGCATCACAAACATTATCGTTATCATTATCATTGTTTTAAAGTTGATATATTGTCCAATGTCTAACTCTGTTATTCAATGCACTTCTTACACGTATTTCCATAGCTACCACGCCTGAAAACAGCTCATTTGCGCTGAACATGCGGCTCATTTTTGATAAAATCAGTAGCTTTTCGCTCATCTTTATTGTACTGCACATGTATCTGGTATGGATCCTTTCCCTCGAAGAGACGCCTTGCTGTTTTGAAATTCGCACATTATGCTAAATATGTGATGTACTTTGCTCCTGTACGTGCTTTTGCCGCATTTGTGTCGTTATAGTCCCTGTTGAAACTCATAAAGTCTTCTTGAAATTATGATCTCAATGTTCATTTGCTTGTGGGAATGTGCAAACAACAGAACGTGACACTTACTACCAAGAATCGAAAATGTGACAATTGTTTATGCCCAGCGATGCTCTACCACTAAGCACTCTACCGCTAGTGGTGGTCTAAGCAGCGACCGTTCAACATTTTCCTTTGTCTCCTGCGAAGCCACCAAGCTGGTGGGATGCAAGGAACGTACATGACGTTTAATGCCTTAATTTTGATTTTTGTTCACAGTATGAAACTCAAGATGTTCAGTTCCCTTAAATCATTCTTTATAATAATTATAGTTCCACCAAAATTTTCAAAAGTTGTAACGTGACGAGGTAGCAAGAAATTCCTATCATTGCATAGAACTGTGTATTTTGCTTTACGAGAAACCAAGAACCTCGAACACAGAATACTGAATTAAAGAGATGGCTGCATTTACAACGGTGCTGGTGAAACAGCAGCATCTCTGCCGACATGAGGTCTGGCATTGCACCATAGATGACAGAACATTATTATACTGTTTGGTTTTTCACCCTTAAGATGGCCCATGCCCGAAAATTCGGTGCATTCCATTTATATCTAGTATTATTTATATTCTTTGGACATGATTTTTCGCTCCCTGTCGGAGCTCATCAGTAGAGGATGATAATGATGATAATGGAGGAATGATCATTCTTATACACCAGAAATGGCGCAAGTGCGCGCTTTCCACATATATCAATGGCATATGCAAGCTGCTAAAATGGTAAAGTGTGAGAACAGCGATAAATAATCATAGTACGCGCTCATTGGTGGAGAAACACACCACACAGGCGACGAAAATCTTACGCGGAATACTGATGCCAAAGGAAAGTATAATGTATGTTGTTTATTATTATGATGTTGCAATGTCCATGTATGCAGGCCAGGCGAGACTCACCGCCGAGATCCCCTAACGCGACAGGCTCGGTTGCCCTTCAGGATCCACACCGACCTGTCCGCCCGTCAACAGGATCGACAGCGGGAGGCCCCACAGCGCGTACTATGATTATTTATCGCTGTTCTCACACTTTACCATTTTAGCAGCTTGCATATGCCATTGATATATGTGGAAAGCGCGCACTTGCGCCATTTCTGGTGTATAAGAATGATCATTCCTCCATTATCATCATTATCACCCTCTACTGATGAGCTCCGACAGGGAGCGAAACAGCTGTCTAGAGGCGTGGAGCAATAATTATTATCTCTCAACGGAAGTGTCCTTGCTGGTGTCTGTATGGTTCGGCTGAAGAGCGCGTGGTTGTGATGAGTTGGGAATGCAATGAATTGAAAATATGGCCGAAAGCTCTGTCGCAATATTTAATTCTGAAGTTTTAATGCGCCGTTAGTGGCAGAGCAGAGTGGACACGAAGAGTCGGTGAAGAAAGAAGGAGAGATGACAAGACGAGTCGGTGAAGAAGGAAGGAGAAAAGCAAGACACATCTGCAATATCTTTGTTTGATCAAAATGAGCTGAGCTGCTGATACGAAGCGTCGACCAAGCATCCCTGACTGGAGTGAATGCCCCAGCTGGCCTCTAGTTTGTCAGTGGTTGCCGATGGACGTGTTAGTATCACACTCACGACTACAAGTTTCCTGGTGTGCATCGACATCGGCATCAGTGGGGCCTCCCGCTGTCGATCCTGTTGACGGGCGGACAGGTCGGTGTGAATCCTGAAGGGCAACCGAGCCTGTCGCGTTAGGGGATCTCGGCGGTGAGTCTCGCCTGGCCTGCATACATGGACATTGCAACATCATAATAATAAACAACATACATATACTTTCCTTTGGCATCAGTATTCCGCGTAAGATTTTCGTCGCCTGTGTGGTGTGTTTCTCCACCAATGAGCGCGTACTATGATTATTTATCGCTGTTCTCACACTTTACCATTTTAGCAGCTTGCATATGCCATTGATATAATTATGTGGAAAGCTCGCACTTGCGCCATTTCTGGTGTATAAGAATGATCATTCCTCCATTATCATCATTATCATCCTCTACTGATGAGCTCCGACAGGGAGCGAAACAGCTGTCTAGAGGCGTGGAGCAATAATTATTATCTCTCAACGGAAGTGTCCTTGCTGGTGTCTGTATGGTTCGGCTGAAGAGCGCGTGGTTGTGATGAGTTGGGAATGCAATGAATTGAAAATATGGCCGAAAGCTCTGTCGCAATATTTAGTTCTTTGGACATGAAGTGAAATTATGCAGCGAAGAGACCGTAGTTGGAGAGTTTGAGATGAGTTACCCTGTAATACCTCGGACTACTTATATCATATGACAATCCGCGGTTTAAATTAAGCATCTATTCATATTTGATAACCGCAATCAATAAAACTAGCTGAACCGACATTTGTGTACTTTATTCATGCAATGTAAAAACGGTGGAGACGATGTATAATAAAACAATGAAAATATGAAGAAATGGTGTAGGGAAAATAATATGGATTCAAACAAGTTTTCGTACAACACTCATCAGGAATCGTCGTTGTACTAAAGGACACTGAAACAAAAATTGAACTATTATAGAAAATCTAAGTTAGAGAAATAACACTAAGAGCAACAACAGTGAAATTTACAAGTGTGAATTTTAACAATCAAAGCGAGAAATGAACAAAGGAGAAAAGAAGGAAAGACAACGTGATAACACATAACAGCAGTACATTACACCTAGAACATTAACGGCCAAGCTTGGCCGCACTAAACACGACACGTTACTTGAACAATTTCAACCCAATTATACTATCTTTCTGTACACACAAATTAGGCTTGTACAGACGCTGATAGATAGCTTCCCACACTTTTAACTGTAGTTCATAACCATGACGACCACGGCACAATACAGTGAACGAAGAGTCGGAATATGAATTGCAACAATCAGGACTAGCTAGCAGATGATTGTCCACTGAAGACTTGCTACCACGAAACCTACGCACAACACTAACACTCTCACCGGCATTCCCACCATCACTCCCATCACTGCTCTCCGACTCACTGCTCCCTCCGCCGTCCGTTCCATCCTCCGCTTCCTCTGTACTCTCTGTCTCGTCCATCCCGCCTGACCGGGTCCATTGCACTCAACTGGGCCGTCACCCTGCTATCACGTCCCTCCTTTCGCCCTTGTCCGCTGAGTGCGTAGCTTCTGTTGTAGTTGGCTGTTGATCGTCTTGGTCTTTCAATTATGGGCTTGGATGGTGGATTAGTTGTGGTTGCTGTAGATTGCGTTGTTGGTGTTGGTGTGGGAGCTACTGATATGCAAGGTGGGTCTTTTTGAGTCGGCATTTGTAGTGTTAATGCAGCTGTCAGTGTTGCTCTCGGTCTCCCACTGGCAAGCTCCACCGCCGCAAGAGCCGATGGCGGAGGATCAGGAGGAGGCAGTGGGACCGGGACCGCAAGCGACACCGCCTCAGCCAAAGCCGCCGTGGGCACTGACGAGGGAACCACCGACGGCCGGAGCAAAGGCGGCCACACAAGCCGACCCGGCTTCAGTACAACGACGATTCCTGATGAGTGTTGTACGAAAACTTGTTTGAATCCATATTTTTCCCTACACCATTTCTTCATATTTTCATCGTTTTATTGCACATCGTCTCCACCATTTTTACATTGCATGAATAAAGTACACAAATGTCGGTTCAGCTAGTTTTATTGATTGCGGTTATCAAATTATTGTCTCCTCGCCGTGTGTTTAAATATTCATATTTGAATCTTCCTTTTGTAGGAGTCTCTCAACGAATTGTCTGAGTTTGCATCACCTCTTGTCAAGTGTTGCAGAGTCAGTATGAAGGTAATTTCTCAGCTTGGGTGATCACATACTAAGCGTTAATGTGAAGTTAAATATTGAATTTGAGACCGGGTCAATTTGTTTGTGCGTGTGTGTATGTTTGAGGGGTGAGTGATTGTGTGTGTGTGTGTGTGTATGTTTGTGTTTTCTCCCGTGAACTCATAATGTGAAAAGATCATAATATATCAGTTAAATGTAAGGGTCTAGAATAGAATGATATCAATTTAAAGACGTGGAAAATAGCAAAGTGTTCATGTACTTATTCGAGAAACACTGCTTCGGAGGGGAGTGTTGACGCTCTCCCACCACTTCCATCTTTAGTGATATGGACAAGCGGAAAGTCAACTGCGTGCGCTCCACCTTTAAATATACGAAATTATGGTACGACTTATACAGCTTGTCACCACGCATGCGCCGGTAGTGGGAATCAAGAAGCGACCTCAGAAGCCTCCTTTGCCTATGATGCACTTCAGGAGACTTTATTCAGCCTTTGCAATATACTATCAGTTATGCACATGTTTCTACCAGATCTTCCAATGCTGGACATAAAAGAACCTCAACCCGATTTCCAGAGGAAAAAAGATACAAACTGAGATTTCAGCAACAACTGTCTTATATCCATGCTCGAATGCCATGACATGGGCAATGGAAATTGAACAAAGATAGCAAGCCAGCGGTAACCAAACTGCGAACTATCCAATCTCAGTTTCAGATCACTTCACAGGACACGGACACGTTGAGTATGACTCGGAAGAAGACAATTACTCACGCACGTCTTCCGAAGTAGACCTGCAAAATATCGGACATGTTCCAGTATCTCCCCTAGCGCCTAGCGTATTTGGGGAGGCCAAACATCATGATCATCAAACGCTCAAGAAACAGCTTAATTTAACTCCGAAGCGTTTTCTAATGAAGACAATCAACTTCTAGCTGACTTCCCTCAAGACCATACGTCTCTCGGCAAGGAAACCGGGGTGTTACTTGATAGCCAGCATCATATGCTTGGTCGTGGACATTCACAATCTGTAGAAGAGCCTCGTAAATGTAAGCATTGCGATAAATCATTTTCTACTCAATCCCGTGTAACATCTCTTGAACGTGCACACCCAGTAGAGAAACCTTTCAAATGTAAAATGTGTGATAAAACCTTCAGTATGCGACATCTTCTTGTCCGCCATGAACGAGTTCACTCAGGGGAGAATCCCTTTACATGCAAAACTGCTCTCGAACATTCAGTCAAAATACCCCACTGTTTATGAACGCATCCATACCAGGGATATGCCGTTTAGGTGTGATCATTGTGACCAAGGATTTTACCAAGGTTCCACCCTTAGACGGCATAAACGTACACATACTGGAGAAAAGCCATTCAAGTTTCAACGATGCGACAAGTCATACAGACAATCAGGGCATCTTATAGATCACCAACGCGTCCACACTGGAGAAAGACCATACAAGTGTATAAGAATGTGGCAAGGCATTCCTACGACTGTGGAATTTCACAGTTCATGAATGCATTCATACTGGCGAGAAGCCATATTCAGGTAGAGAGTGCGGAAAGTCTTTCACTACGAAAACCAGCCTAACAGTTCATGAACGCATCCATTCCTGCGGAAAACTGAACAAGTGCTAGCGACGGGTCATTTAATTGAAACCAAATCGCTTGGAAGACCACACGAATACCAACACAGTAAAACAGATACGGCTTGTTTTCATGATTATGGAAAATGGTATCATTACAGGCCCGTACTGATCCGCAAATAGCGTTATTGCAGTTTACAGCTCTCACCCATATCTTTGCAAAAGTAACCGCATGTATGCTCACCATGTTCGACATCCAAAACACTATAATTCTTTTGTATTCCAGTTGATATCCACTGTTGCATTCCTTGTTTTCTATTCCATTCCTACACAGCAGGAACATGTTTCCATATTTACCATGCATTAAAAACTCCATTCGGCTGAACGTGCCTTTATGGTTCATTTTTCATCAATCTGTACTGATTTTGGTCGGCTATTCTAATTCCTTTTCTTGGACGAGGCGCTGTGCTGTTCTGAAGTTTGCACACAAAGCTAAATGTAATGTCTATATTTACCCTTGGTCCCATGTGTAATAATTGTTGTATAGTAACATTTAGTCCTTCTCAAAACTTGTCAAATATTTTACGTCCTAACATCTCACGGTTCAAAAGTTTGATGAAAATGTAAATCACAGTGAAACGAGTTATGAAGCAAATATCCGCGACTGTAACAAGATAATAAACGGTCAATAAGTGTGTTAACAGGGCACACAACTGGCATGTTACTGAGACATTAAACCACCTGAGACCTAGTTCTCACACATTTCTAGTGCGCAAACCTACAGCCTTCCAGCTTGGTAGGTTCAAGGGTATGTGATTGTGATTGTGTTATTTCTTCTATTATTTTTAACTCGAATACTGAGCCAGTAATAAATGTACAAAAGAGTTAGCTTTGTGCCCTATTATCGCACTTTATGACGGTTTATCATCTAGTTACAGTCGTGGATAGTTGCTGCGTACCTCGTTCTCATGTGTTTTCTTCTACTTTCATTATATTTTTACAGTAGATTATGACCAACAATTTCCTTTCTGAAAAGAAGCAAGACAAAATGTTACGCGTTATGGGTAACTGTCCACCAACGTAAGCAGATCTTATACAGTCAGTGAGTGCGACATAATGGCACAAAACTGACAAAGAAGTACTGAGACTTTCGGCGACCTGACACCAATCTCCAACACTTCTCCAAGGCGCAAACCAACAACCTTCCAACTTGCAAGGCTCAGGTTCGGAAAGGTCCAAGAGGTGAAGGAAAGCGCAACGAAGAAGATCACGAGTTACGCATCCCGGCAACAAAGAATGCCGAAAGTTGTTGGTTTGCGCCTTGGAGAAGTGTTGGAGTTAGGTGTCAGGTCGCCGAATGTCTCAGTACTCCTCGTCAGTTTTGTGCCGTTTTGTCGCACTCGCTGACTGGATAAGATCTGGTTACGTAAGTCGTTGGTGGACGGTTAGTCATAACTCGTAACATTTTGTCTTTCTTCTTTTCATAATAATTTAATAGGCTCACCGTCGGAGTTAAATTTCCTTTCTGATGACACATTTTGATGAACTTGAAAGAAGATTTTGTGTCAACCAATGATCTACAACTAAGCTATGGCCTATTGGTCATCAAAGCAGCTACCGCGGAACACGTTCTTTAGACTTCAAAACACTCACTTCTTGTGATTTCACACAGTCTTGCGATACGCAGTACCCCTGTAAATCCCACACGCTAGTCTTTAGCACTATGTAGTACGCGGGAAGACTCCCGACACAAAAGAAATCATATATTCGAGGAAAAGATGTAAAAGGGGAAGGGTCAGAAAAAAAACGTCGACTGTCATCACGAGGACTCTTATTCCCGGCGATGATTGATATCTCAGTATGTAAAGGATATCTTTCTCTACTGAATGAAACCGGTGCGAGGTAGAGAGGCTTTCTTCTAGAATCGCAGCAGGATGCACTGTGTGCGAGCTGAATATGCTACGCCTCTGGAGTATGCTAAATACATACATATTTTTATACCTGCAATACCGGGACAAACTCAGATCGTCGATACTCTGGGTTTCTTTATCTAGCATGAATTTCCTAAGCAATACTGTGAAATCATAAGGTAGGCATAAATGTGCATTTTAACTACCATGTGCCAAGGAACGAGACTTGTTCCATTGCTCTTTCCTCAGGTAATTAGAACCTTTAAGTCACAAGCAAGGCAGGATATGACACGATACATTTCCATGAGGAGCTGATCATCCATTCCATATGATTATGATTATCTCGTTCCCTGAACAAATACTGTTGATGACTACATTTGAAGTCATAAAGCTGTGTCTGTGCTGACGCTAAAGAAATTCACTGCAATTTACATCAAAGAAAGGTCAAAGAGAATCTCCTCTGCAGTCCTGCAATTCGATCATTTCAGGCACAGCGTGTTTGTGTTAGTGTGTGTCCGTGTATCTGAGTGTGTCTTTAAGTGGGTGTCGGGTTGTGTGGATGGGTGTGTGTTACTGTGTATGTATGTGGTTCGGTGTGGGCGCTCATGATGTGAACAGATCATAATGTGTCCGCTAAATGTAAGGGCTAAGAAATAGATATCAACTAAAAGACGTGACAAATTAGCAGATTGTTTATGTACATATTCGGGAAACATAGGTGCTACGGATCACAATACTTACCTCCTAGGACAAGTTGTTCCTGCTCTTTGGATTATTGGTATTGAAGTCGGATACTTTGACCTGCGTGGCATTAGAATTGCGTTTGGAAGGATTGTATATAAGTAAGTGAATCATGGATGATCTTGACTGGACTTTGGACGGGAGTGTCGACTCTAATGCACTCCCACCACTTCCACCCTTAGTGATATGGACCAGCAGAAGGTCAACTGTGTGTCCTCCACCGCAGAACACACCAACTTCTGGTACACCTTATTCAGCTCATCACCACGTATATGCCGTTGGTGAGAATGAAATATCGACCTCAGATGCCTCCTTTGCCTATTATGCAATTCAGCATACCTCATTCAGTCATTGGAACATACCATCAGTTACCACCAATTTACCGCTAGTTCATCCACCGGCGGACCTAACAGACCGCGTCAGGGACTGTCGAACAGAGTGTCGAAGGAAGGAAGGTACAAACCCTACTGAGCTTTAAGCAACAGTTTTCGATAATCCATGTTCGATTCCCATCACATCGGCAATGGAAATTGAAACAAGATCGCGAGACAGCGATAACCAAACTGTCAACTATCCAATCTCAGTTTCAGATCACTTCACAGGACACAGGCACGTAGAGTATGACTCGGAAGAAGACAATTACTCAAGCACGTTTTCCGAAGTAGATCTTCAAAATATCGGACATGTTCCAGTATCTCACCGACTGCCTAGCGTATCTGAATATGGCAAACATTATGATCATTACAAGCTTAAGAAACAGCATACATCGGCGACGCATTCCGCTGAAGACACTCAACTTCTAGCTGACTTTCCTCAAGATCATACGTCGCTCAGCCAGGAAACCAGGGTGTCACTTGATCGTCAGCATATAATGCGTGACCGTGCAAATTCACAGACTAGAGAACAGCCGCATAGTTGTAAGTACTGCAAAAAATCATTTCCTACTCAATCTCGTCTAACATCTCATGAATGTGTACAGCCAGAAAAGAAAACTTTCAAATGTAAAGTGTGCGATAAAACCTTCAGTAGGCGATATCATCTTGTTCGTCATGGACGAGTTCACTCAGGAGAGAAACCCTTTATGTGTAAGTACTGCGCTAAATCATTCAGTGAGAAATCAAGCTGTACTGTTCATGAACGCATCCATACCGGGAAGAAGCCGTTTGGGTGTGATCATTGTGGCCAAGGTTTTTGCGACAGTTCCAACCTTATACGTCATAAACGCACACACACTGAAGAGAAGCAATTAAAGTGTACCGAATGTAAAAAGGCATTTAGACGATCATCACATCTCGCCGATCATCAACGCGCCCATACCGGAGAGAAGCCATTCAAGTGTAAAGTATGTGGAAAGTCTTTCCGTTGGAAAACCAATTTAGCAGTACATGAAAGAATCTATCTCTGATAGAAACTGATCAAGGATTGTCACAAGTCTTTTTATGAAAAGAAACACTTAGAAGACCATGCAAACACTAACACAATCAAACAACACACTTCATTTTAAAATAATGGAAGATGTAGGTCCGTTTTGAAATGCAAGTAACCCAATCTGAACTCCATGCAAAATTCACTTCTTACACGCTGACTTCTACATTTGTGGCATCACAAACATTTTCATTATCACGGTTGCACAGGGCACAATTTCTAACCATATTACTCAATGCACTTCTTACGCGTATTTCCATATGCAATGTTCTTAAAAAAACTCAGTTTCGCTGAACATGCGGCTCATTTTTGATAAAATCAGTATCTTTTCGTGCATTTCTATTCTTTTGCACGCATGCCGGGTATAGATTCTTTCCCTAGAATGAGACGCTGTGCTGTTTTGAAGCTCGCACCTGTTGCTGAATATGTGTTGTACTTTTTTTCCTGTATGTAGCTTCAGTGCCCTTGGCATCGTATTATAGTCCTTTTCTAGTCCCTATACAAACTCTTAAAATGTGGAACTCGGATGGTCAGCCAATATAGTTATATTGAAGAAAGGAAAAGGACCAAATGTTACGAGTTATGACAAACTGTCCACCAACGTAACCAGATCTTATACAGTCAGCGAGTGCCACAAAATGGCACAAAATGGAGCTTTCCGAACCTGAGCCTTCAAAGTTGGAAGTTTGTTGGTTTGCGCCTTGGAAATGTGTTTGAACTAGGCGTCAGGTCGCCGAATGTCTCAGTACTTCTTGTCAGTTTTGTGCAATTTTGTCGCACCCGCTGACTGTATAAGATCTGGTTACGTTGGTGGACAGTTTGTTATAACTCGCAACATTTTGTCCTTTTCCTTTCTTCATCTTAAAATGTTCTAAAAAATACCTCAATAATAATTTGCTTGAGGGAAAAAATGACTTCCTGGCAGGACTCGAACCTGTGACGATCGCGTATGCCCAGCAAGCACTCTACCACTTGTGATCATCCAAGCGGCGACCGTTCAACGTTTTCCTCACACTTATAATCTCTCGCGTCCTGTGAATTCACACAAGCTGGTGGTATTCTAGGAACGTACATGACGTTTAGTGTTTTAATTGCATTTTTTTTCGCTACTGCAAAACCCATGGTTTTCAGTTGCCTGGTGTTATTCGCTATCATTTAGCTCCACCAAAATTGAGGAGGTATGAATAGCTAAACAGTTTCCTCTGAGACAAAAAATGCAATAATATTCATAAAAAGGACACACTTCAGGCTCATTTCAAACATCTTGAAAGTTTTTGTCTTCACAAGTATACTTTCAAGCCTTCTTGTCAGGTGAAATACAGGCAAAGGAAAAGGAACAGGAACAGTGGATTAAATACAGTAAGATCAAGATGTTGGTAATGAGCCTGAAGCGTGTCCTTTTTATGAGTATTATCGTATGAATAGCTCCCTATCATTGTTGAGAACTGTGCAGTGTGCAATAGATTATGTAACATATACGTCGCAATACCTATAATTATCATTACGAGAGACGATATAAATCATGCCTCTATTAATAGCAGACATTTTGTGGGTAGATTCTAACAGCAAGATGTCTCAGCTCACATCTACTCTTGTCAGGTTTGGCAGTGCCAGCTTTAGGGTGATGTATCAGCTTGGGTGATGTCAAATCAAGTTTTAAGGCGAAGAGAGCTCTGGAAATAGAGATCATGTGTGTGTGGGGGGGGGGGGAGGGGTTGTGTGGGTGAATGTGTGTGTGTGATAGTTTGTGTGTGGTAGGGGGTATGTGTGTGTTTCCGCGCGTGAGCGAATGGTGCGAAAAGATCATAATGTGTCAGCTAAATATAAGGGCCTAGAAATATATATAATGTTAAAGACTTGACCATTAAATTTAGCCGAATGTTCATGTAATTATTCCGGAAACACAGCTGCTGCTGATTACAATACTTACTTCCTAGGATGAGTTGTTCCAGTTTTTTTGGATTATTGGTATTGACGTCGGATACTTTTCCTTGCATGCCAGGTGAAGTGCCCTTGTACGGATTGTTGAATTAAGTGAATGATGGATTATCGGGACTGGATATTGGAGGGGAGTGTTGACTCTGATGCACTCTCACCGCTTCCACCCTTAGTGATATGGACCAGCAGAAGGACAACTGCTTGTCTTCCACCGTCCAGTATACCATATTATGGGACGACTTATCCAGCTCTTCAGCACGTAAATCCCGTTAGTACTAACCAAGTAGTGACCTAAGAAGGCTCCATTGCATATGTTGCGCTTCAGAATACCTCATTCAGCCCTTGCACTACACAAACACCTACCTGCAGTGTGCTTCAAGATTCTCCTTGGGTGGAAAGTGCAGAAGACAATTTCAGGCACCCTCGACCAGAGTTCCAAAGGAACAAAGATACGTGGACCAACGAGTCTCAGTCAGTTTCACTGGCTACATCACCATGCTGTGGGTAAGACCGCTTGAAATGTGCTTGGATCCATACAAAAAATGGATCCAAGTGGATCCAGTTTTTGAATTTTTGAAATTGTTGCTATGCTGTGACGTAGCACTTTCAAGCCCTATGGCATCAACGTCACTGCCTGTGTCTGGTGTCCAGGACAGTTGGGATGGCTGATCCTCTGTTTGCAGCATGGTCGAAACAGGTACTGTGCGACGGTCCACGCGAGACGCACGCTGTAGCTTCAGCTGTCCAAGCTTGGCAGCAGAGCTAGTCTTCGGCTGTTTCTGGCGCTTGCACATTCGCTGAAAATGCCCAATGCCATGACAGGGGTTGCACTTCTTGCCCTTGGCAGGACATACAGATTTCGTGTGCTCAGAGCGACCACAATTCGGACAAGTGGACTTGGTCGCACTTGATGTCTCACTTGGCTTAGAGTCAGCTGGCTTGTGACGTTTCTGCTTCTTATACGCCGACTGCTTGGCAGCACTTGACTGGAGGCCAGGACTGGGCATGTGTGCCTTGGTGTGGTATGCTGCTTCCTCCGTCCGACAGAGGGTGACAGCCTGGTCGAGCGTGAGACCATGAGTTGCGAGCAACTTGTGTCCCGTCTCATCGTTCCGCACACCAATTACGATGCGGTCACGCAGAGATTCCTCCTTGAGGGTACGGCCGAGGCCTTTGCACTGCGCACAGCAGCGAGCATCACACGTTCCACATAGGTTGTGTGACAAGAAGTCGCATGCACTTTGTAGTTCACACAGGGCTGTGTAAAACGCATCAAATGATTCTCCAGCTTGCTGGACACGCTGGTAAAACTCTATGCGGTCCAACAGTGGATTACGTTGCCGTCTGATATACGCCTGAATGCGCTCCAGCATCAGGTCGACGTCAGCTGAAGCTGGTATGCAAATAATATCCTCTCGGATAAAACGTCGCAGCTCCTCATCGAAACACTGACGGAGTGTTGCCACTCTGGCCTCACGAGCCTGGCTGGCCAAATGCTGGCTAACACTAAAATCTCTCCAGCTTTCAATGAAGGAGTGAAAATCAGCCAGCGTCGCAGACGACAATAAGTGTGGGCAGGAAACACTGTTCACTGGCCGTGGTGCTGAGGTCTGCGAGGTGGACTGAGCTGGTGCTGAGGGCTGCGGAGTGAACTGAGGCTGCGATGGTGATAGCGACCTGCTCTGAACATTCTTGAACAGATCTTGCATCGCCTTATCACGAGCCTCAGCTGCACGCATCTGCTGCTCCATAAATTTCATCAGGACACCCATTTGAGATTCCTGCTGTCACTCGGTCGCGGAGGACAGGTCAAATCCGGTATCGTCCTGTGATTGTTCCATTACGATTAGTCACTCTCGTCCATGAGTACGAACAAATACACTACTAAAATAATTCAACTGAGACAGAGTTTCGATCGCGGAAACTACTACTTCATACGGAAAAAACAACTGGGCCCGTGCAAACACTACATGGTGCGGACACAAGGCACGGACACAGGAAAGAACAAGTTCACTGCGCCATAATACGTTACTATTTATTCGTGAAGACTTGGGAACGGAAACAAAACATGTCATGAGAAAGAACAACAGGAAAAAGAAGCACACTCAACTAATCCGTGTGTGTGCGTGCATGCAGTACAACTATGACGTAATGAATATAGATACACATCAGACATAGCAGACCAGTCCAGAGACACTCGACGTGAGTGCCAAAGGAAGGACTATTATAGAAACCCCACTGTGTTTTCAGCAACAGCTGTCGAAAATCCAATCTCAAATGCCAATACCTCAACAGTAGACATTGATCAAGGATCGCAAGAAAGCGGTAACCCAACTGTGAACTATCCTATCTCAGTTTCAAATCACTGCACAGGTCACGGGAACGTAGCGTGTGGCTCGGAAGAAGACGATTGCTCAAGCACGTCTTCCGATGTGGACCTTCACAATATCAGACACGTTCCAGTGTCTCATAGAGGGCAAAGCGTATCTGAGGATGCCAAACATGACGATCGTCCAACTCTCAATAAACAGTATACCCCCGAGTCGGGTTATGAGGAAGATGGTCAACGTCTACCTGACTTTCCTCAGTATCATACTTCGCTCAGCAAGGAAACCGGAGTGTCATTTGATCGCACGCATGATACGTGTGATCATGCACATTCACATTCTGGAGAAGAGCTGCATAAATGTAAGCATTGCGATCAATCATTTTCTACTCTATCCCGTCTAACATCCCATGAACGTATTCACCCAGAAGAAAAACCTTTCAAGTGTGAAGTTTGCGATAAAACCTTCAATAGGCAATATGATCTTGTCCGTCATGGACGTGTTCACTCACGTAAAACCCCATTTACATGCAAGGACCGCGCTAAATCTTTTAGTAAGAAATTCAAACTTACTGTTCATGAACGTATCCATAACGGGGAGAAGCCGTTTAAGTGTGATCATCGTGACAATAGTTTTTGCGACAGTTCCAGCCTTAGACGTTATAAACGTACACATACTGGAGAGACGCCATTCAAGTGTAACGAATGTAAAAAGGCATTTATACAATCATCACATCTCGCAGATCATCAACGCGTCCATACTGGAGAGCAACCATTCATGTGTAAAATATGTGGAAAGTCTTTCTCTTTTGAAATCCAGTTTAGCAAGACATGAAAGAATACACCACTGAGAGAAAACGATACGCAATTGTGACAAGTCTTTCAATGAAAAAAACACTTGGAAGGCTATGCAAATACTAGCACCATTTAACCAAATGCTTCTTTCCAAGGTTATGGAAATTTTTCATTATAGAATCGTTTTGAAATGGAAGTAGCTCAAACTGAACTCCATGCAAAGGTCACTGCTTACATGCTGACTTCTACATTTGTAGCACCACAAATTTTATCACTATAATTTTTCTAGAGTTGATATATTGTACAGTTACTAGCCATGTTACTCAAGGCACTTCTTGCCCGTATTTCCATATCTGCCATTCATAAAAAAAACTCAGATGTGCTGAACATGCGCCTCATTTTTGGTAAAATCAGTAAATGTTCGCGCATCTTCATTATTCTGCACGCATGCCGAGTATAGATTCTTTCCCTCGCAGAGACGCTGTGCTGTTTTGTAATTCGCACATGACGCTAAATATATGATGTACTTTTTTCCTGTATGTGCCTTCGGTCCCATTTGTATCGTTATGTAGGCCCGCTATAGTCCCTGATAAAACTCTTACAATTTTCTAAAAAAAATATAATCTCAATGTTTACATGCTTGGGGGAATGTGCAAACAAAAGAAAGTGACACTCTCTACCAAGAAACGAACATGTGACAAGTGATTATGCCCAGCGATGCTCTACCACTGAGCGCTCTACCACTAGTGGTCGTCCAAGCAGCGACCGTTCAACATTTCCCTTTGCCTCCTGCGAATCCAGCCACCTGGTGGGATGAAAGGAACGTACATGACGTTTAATGTCTTAATTTTGGTTTTTCTACACCGCGCGAAACTCAAGATGCTCAGTTTCCTTATATTATTCTTTATCATTAAGCTCAACCGAAATTATTTAAAAAGGTTTAACGTGACGAGGTAGCAAGTGCACCCTATCACTAGCTATCAGTTCATAGAACTGGGTATTTTGTTTTAGGAGAAACCAAGAACCTTGAGAACAGAATACTGCATTATAGAGGTGACTGCAGTTACAACTGTGGTGGTGAGACTGCAGCAACTCCACCAACATGAGGTCTCGTATTGCACAATAGATGACAGAACATAATACCTTGCACTACTTATATCATATCACGATAGGCGATATAAATTGTTGAGAGAGCATGTCTGAGAATACCAAAGTATGTGTGCATGTGGATCTCTCCGATTTCGGTGAAAAGTTGCAGGTATGTTCCCTTTAGGGTGAAGGTCAATTTTGCAAAGCCCTTCTAAAAAAAATTTCCTGAAGGGAACCTTGAAACTTGCATACCCCTCAAAAATGGCCGAAATATCACACTATTTATGGGTCTACAAACGAGTCACGCCACAGCGTATACGAACAAGCTACGAACAAAACTCCATCAAGCCAACATTGCCTCACCTTAGAAGAGTCCCTGGAGCAGTACTTCTTAGCTACGCCAGGATCATAGAAGACCAGGACCATCACCCCCTGACGCCACAAATGACCGTCTTGAAAATTGGCAGTTTATAAGCGCTGGCAAAACAGCCAGCCACGTCCTCGATTGGCCAGAACTATACACCGCCAGATAGTGGAACACCTCTTCTAGCGCCGAGGACATGCCCCTCCCCCCCCCCCCCCATCTTCCTTTTGGGGTTTTCTCGAAATAAACCTTTTTGAATTTTTCCACTCGACCATGCTGACATACGGCCAAAGTCATACCTACGCAGGAAAGCTCGCCTCTCCGCGACGTCTTCTCAGCAATTTCTACTCCAACACTACTCCCAAGGCCGCAGAACAAACTGTAATGTTGACTCTGACAAGGAAAAGCAGCGGTGAGCACGTGTCACTACAAACGACAAGCTTCTCCTTGGCAAGTTCTTGCGCCACCAGTAATTTTTTGTGCGACTGTTGATGCAAAAGTGACTGACGTCCTCAGCGCAGTTTTTGAATTTTATTGCAAGATGCACGGTGAGATCGCGTGGTCTGGAGCGTAGGATCAGGTAATGCTAAATATGTGAAGTACTTTGTTCCTTTATGTACTATTGTGCCCTTGGTATCGTCGTAAAGTCCAATTCTAGTCCATTTCAAAGTGCTTTTAAAATGTTATACAAAAAACCAATAAAGATTTATCAACATTCATTTAGGGAAATGTGTGTTGCTCCCTACATTCAAGTCGGCAGGTAAACAGCGAGCTCCAAAGCAGGGAGCAACACACATTTCCCCAAATATCGTCGAAGTCGCGCTAACCCCTTCTTCACAATATTCATGTGCTTGAAGAAAATGTGCGAATGGTATAATATATAACTTTCACTAACAGGATTCGAACATTTGACGTTCGCTTATGCCCAGCGATGCCCTACCACTAAACACTCTACCACGTGTGGTCGTCCAAGCAGGACCTGTTGAACAGTTTCCACAGATTTAGACACTCTCGCTTCCTCTGAATCCACACAAGCTTGTGCGATTCAATCAACGTTCATGACGTTTAGTGATTGAATTGTGGTTTTTGCACATAGTGCGAAACTCATGATGTTCATTTCGCTTATACTTGTAAAACATTTAACTCCACCCACATTAAACGTGACGAGGTAGCAAGAGCATCCTATCAGTGCATAGAACTGAGCGTTGCGCAATCAATTATATAACATACCTGGCACTACCTATATCATAATTATCACATTTATAAACCATCCATATATTCATAGCAGACATTTTGTTGTTAGATACACCTCTTGTCACATGTTGCAGAGTCAGCATGAAGGACAAGTCTCAGCTTGGGTGATCCTGAATCAAGCGTCTAGGTGATAATATGGAAATATAGATGACGTGTGTGTGTGGTTATTTGTGTGTTCTTGTGTGTGTTTTGGCGTGTGGTTGTTTGTGTGAGTGTGTTTGTGTGGTTTCCGCGCGTGAGCTCATGACGCGAACAAATCGTTTAAGATGTGACACTTAATGTAAGGGCCTAGAAAAAGATATCAACTTAAAGACGTGAAAAATTAGCAGAGTGTTCATGTACATATTCGGGAAACACAGCTACTACTGTTTACAATACTTGCCTCCTAGGAAAAACTGTTCCTGCTCTTTGGATTACTGGTATTGAAGTCGGACACTTTGCCCTGCATGTCAGTAGAGTTGCGCTTGGAAAGATTGATAGTTAAAGTAAGAGAATCATGGATGATCGTGACTGGACTTCGGAGGGCAGTGTCGACTCTGATGGACACTCACCACTTCCACCCTTAGTTATATGGACCAGCAGAAAGTCAACTGCGTGTCCTCCACCGCCCAATATACCATATCATGGTACAACTTATCCAGCTCTTCCGCACGCATATCCCGATAGTGCTAATCACGTAGTGACCTCGGCAGCCTCCTTCGCATATGGTGCACTCAGCCCTTGGAATACACAAACATCTACCTCCAATGTGCTTCAAGATTACCTTTGGGTGGAAATTGCAGCAGACAACTTCAGGCACCCGCGACCAGAGTTCCAAAGGAACAAAGATACCCGCGCTAATGAGGCTTCAAAAGCAGCTGTCGAGAACCCATGCTCTGATCCCATGACATCAGCAATGGACATTGACCATAGATCACAAGGCAACAGCCACAGAATTGTTAACTATCCAGTTCCGTTTTCAGACCACTACACAGGCCACGGGCATGTGGATTATGCCTCGGAAGATGGCAATTATGCAAACAATCCGACCGAAGTGGACCTTCACAATATCGGACATGTTGCAGTATCTCCCATAGCGGTTAGCACATCTGAGGATGCCAAACATCATGATCGTCAAATGCTCAATTTACAGCATACTTCGGAGTCGTGTTCTGATGAAGATAGTCGACTTCTAGCAGACTTTCCTCAAGACCACACGTCTCTCAGCAAGAAAACCGGGATGTCACTTGATCGCCAGCATGACATGGGTGATCGTGCACATTCACAATCTGAAGAAGAGCCTCATAAATGTAAGCATTGCGATAAATCATTTTCTATTCTATCCCGTCTAACATCTCATGAATGTGTACATCCTGAAATGAAACTTTTCAAATGTAAAGTATGTGATAAAACCTTCAATAGGCGATTTCATCTGGTCTCTCATGGACGAATTCATTCAGGAGAGAAGCCCTTTACGTGCAAGTACTGCCCTAAATCATTCAGCAGGAAATACAACCTTACAGTTCATGAACGTATCCATAACGAGGAGAAGCCCTTTAAGTGTGATCATTGTGACCAAGGCTTTTCTGACAGTTCCAACCTTCGAGTTCATAAACGTACACATACTGGAGAGAAGCCATTTAAGTGTAACCTTTGTGACAAGTCATACAGACAATTTTCGCATCTCATAGATCACCAACGCATGCACACTGGAGAGAGACCTTACAAATGTAAAGAATGTGGTAAGGCATTCCGGGGAATATCGAATCTCACAAAACATCAACGCATCCATACAGGAGAGAAACAATTTTCGTGTAGGGAATGTGGAAAGTCTTTCACAACGAAATCTAACCTAACATGTCATGAAAGACTCCATCCCTGATAGAAATTGATCAAGTACCTGCGACGCGTTTTTCAATACTAAAACCACATAGAAGACCATACGAATGACAAGGCAGTAAATAAGGACACGGCTTCTTTTCATGATAATGGAAAATACTATCATTACAGGTCCGCCTTGATTCGCAATTAGCTTCAATGCCGATAACAGCTCAATCTCATATCCATGCAAAATTCAATGCTTACACGCTAACTTCGACATAATTATGAACATCCAAAGCATTATCATTTTCATTGTATTCCAGTTGATATTCACTTTTATATTGCCTGCTTTCCATTTCAGTTCCCACACAGCAGGAACATGTTTGCATATTTACCAAATACTCAACTGCGCTGAACATTCCTGTACTGTTGTTTTTTTGCTAACTCGGTCCTTTTTTATGTCAGATACCCTACTAAAGGAGAGCACACATGCCGGGTATGGATTATTTCGCCGGAATAGGCGCTAAGCTGAACCTTATTTCTATAATGTACCCTTGGTCCTCTGTCATAATTATGGTGTAGTAACGTTTTAGTCAAAACTCGTCAAATTTTTTAACCCTTTAAGAGCCACAGGAAATTTTCAAAAATCTGCATTTTTTCATGTTCCTCGGATCATAGCTTCAGTTCTACTCACTCAATCCTCACAATCTAGGGCTTCCTGGAAAGGTATTCGCGAGAGGAAGAGAATGAGGTCGATCATGATAGCCAGCACACCGTCTATCCAGCGCTAGATCGCAGCGACAGTACGAAAAATGCCCCAAATGCGTCCAATTGCGTCCCGCTCCAGATATTTCATTCTACTCGATCGTGGAGTTCCAATTTTTTTGCTGTGTACCCTTGATAATATCAACAGTGAAACCCGTGCAAATTCGAGTAAACCAGCGTGACGAAAAGTCTCAAAAATCTCAATACTAAAGTTGCACTGCGCGCTTTTGAAATTGCCGCGATCGCGGCTCAACTTACGAGTGATTTATCTCGGGAACCGTTGCTCGCAGCGCTTCGCGGATTATTTCTCCCGACAGGTGAGAGTTTTCTCTTCGCCCTGGATATTTCGATCGATGGATTTGAGCGAGATTAGACTGAGTTACGATCTTTTGAAGTTTTGCATTTGAATGCGTCGTTTACGACGCATTTAAGTATGGGGCGGCTCTTAAAGGGTTAAGTTCTAACATCTCAATGTTTATTTCTTTTCATGAACTTGGAAATCATATTGAAACGAGTTATGAGGCAACTATCTACGACTGTAACATCATAATAAACAGTCACAAAGAGCGATAACACTGCACAAAATGACATGTAAATGAGACATTCACCGACCTGAGACTTAGCTCTCACACACCTCCAGTGAAAAAGCCAACAGCTTTCCAGCTTGGAAAGTTCAAGACCATGTGATTGTGATAAGGTGATTTCTTTTTATGTTAACTCGGATAGTGAGCCAGTAATAAATGTAAAAAAGAGTCAGTTGTGTGAAGCAATGCTCTACCGCTAAGCTATGGCCTAGTAGTCATCAAAGCAGCTACAGCTCAACACTTTCTTTTGACTTCGAAACACTCACTTACTGTGATTTCACACAGGTTCGCTGTACGCAGTCCACTTGTAATGCACCCACTCTAGTCTCTAGCTCTATGTAGTACGCGGGGAGACCCAACACACGAAAAATTTATGTATTCGCGGAAAAGATGACGGGGAAGGGTCTGAAGAAAACGTCGACTGTCATAAAGAGGACTCTTATCGCCGGCGATGCTCTATTTGATATCTCAGTATGTAAAGCATATCTTTATCCACTGCCTGAGACCCTTGTGAGGTTGAGGATCTTACAGCAGGTGGCACTGCCTGCGAGCTGAATATGAAAAATATAAACACAAAGGCACACAATGAAAACCTTGGCAAATTAATACTGTTGTGACTCAGAGTTTCATGGCTGAACAAATCATCAGACAAGAAGTATCAATTTGCCAAGGTTTCAATTGTGTGCCTTTGGGTACACCGCACTGCCTGAATCAGGCATTGAGCACTCTTGCAGAACCAAAGCATACTGCCTCTGTGAAAAATATATACATATTTTTATGGCTACAATAGCGGGACAAACCTAGATCGTCAAAACTTTGGGTTTCTTTCTCTAGCATGAATTTCATAAGCAATACTGTGAAATCATAAGGTGGGCAAAATGGGCCTTATAAGGCCCACGTGCCAAGGAACGAGACTTGTTTGTTTTCCCTTTTCTCAAATAATTAGAACTCTTTAGTCACAAGAAAGACTGGACATGAAATGATACATTTCCATGAGGACCTGATCATCCGTTCATATGATTGGGGTTATCTTATTCCCTTGACAAACACAGTTAGCTCCATCACTTACACAAACAAGTCAACAAAAAGGCATCTATGGATTGAGGAGTGCTGGTTTCGAAACAACTGGTTTGAAGCTCAAAGTAGAGCTGGTGCTAGCTCAGAGCAGAGCTGCAGCTAGCTCAAAGTAGAGCTGCGGTTAGCTCAAAGTAGAGCTGCTGTTAGCTCAAAGTAGAGCTGCGGGCAGCTCAAAGTAGAGCTGCTGTTAGCTCAAAGTAGAGCTGCGATTAGCTCAAAGTAGAGCTGCTGTTAGCTCAAAATAGAGCTGCTGTTAGCTCAAGGTAGAGCTGTTGTTAGCTCAAAGTAGAGCTACTGGTAGCTCAAAGTAGAGCTGCGGTTAGCTCAAAGTAGAGCTGCGGTTAGCTCAAAGTAGAGCTGCTGTTAGCTTAAAGTAGAGCTGCGGTTATCTCAACGTAGAGCTGCTGTTAGCTCAAAGTAGAGCTCAACGGCGAGTTGCAATGCTAAATGGATGTAAAATTGCACAAGGCAGAGCCGCAGCAAATAGCTAGATAACACCAGTTGTGAAAGTGGACCCGATTAGTGAGTACGATAATTATAATGATGGTGTGAATAAGTTGGATAGGGAGGGATGGTGGGAAAAGAAACACTGCTGAAGCAGGATCCGTTGTCTGGAAGAGCACAAGAGGGCAAGCTATATTTGTTTTCTTTTCAGCAAAATGGGCTGGTGCCATTTGTGATTATGCAGCAAAACAAAGCGCATGACGTCAGTCTTGAATGCAGTACAAAGCAATGCAGTACAATGTGTGCGCTAGTTCGGATTGTTGCTAACAAGTACTCGTTCCGCTAGTACACCATTATCGCCTATATTTGGAGTCATAATGCTGCGTCTGTGCTGAAGATAAAGAAATTCAGCTATCTTCCCTGCAAAGTACTTCGAAGTACGGTAAAATAGAATCTCCTCTGCAGTCCTCAACTTCGATCATTTGAGTCACAGTGTGTGTGTGTGTGTGTGTGTGTGTGTGTGTGTGTGTGTGTGTGTGTGTGTGTGTGAGTGCGTGTATCTGGGTGGGTGTTTGTGTGGGTGGGTGTCTAGGTGTGTCTGTGTGTGTTCAGGTGAGTATGTGGGTGTTTCCGCGCGTGAGCTCATGATGTGAAAAAAATCATAATGTGTCAGTTAAATGTAAGGGCTTAGAAATAGATATCAACTTCAAGACATGACAAATTAGCACAGTGTTCGTGTACTTATTCGGGAAACACAGCTGCTACTGATTACAATACTTAACTACTAGGACAAGTTGTTCCTTGTCTTTGGATAATTGGTATTGAAGTCGGTAGAATTGCGGTAGAATTGCGCTTGGAAGGATTGTTCAAGTCATTGAATCATGAATGATCGGGACGGGACTTCGGAGGGGAGTGTCGACTCTGATGCACTCTCACCACTTCCACCCTTAGTGATATGGACCAGCAGAAGGTCAACTGCGTGTCTTCGACCGCCGAACACACCAACTTCTGGTACACCGTATACAGCTCATCACCATATATACGCCGTTGGTGGTAATCAAGTAGCGACCTCAGAAGCCTCTCTTGCCTATTATGCAAATCAGCCTACCTCATTCAGTCCTTGGAACATACCATCAGTTACCACCAATTTACCGCTAAATTATCCACCGCCGGACCTGACAGACCGCGTCAGGGACCATCGACCAGAGTGCCGAAGGAAGGAAGATACAAACCCTACTGAGCCTTCAGCAACAGCTGTCGATAATCCATGCTCGATTCCCATGACATCGGCAATGGACATTGAACAAAGATCGCAAGCCAGCGGTAACCAAACTGTGAACTATCCAATCTCAGTTTTAGATCACTACACTGGATATGGGCACGTAGAGTATGACTCGGAAGAAGACAATTACTCAAGCACGTCTTCTAAAGTAGACCTTCAAAATATCGGACATGTTCAAGTGTGTCACCAAGCGCCTAGCGTGTCTGAGGGTGGAGAACATCATGATCATCAAAAGCTCAAGAAACAGCATTCATCCGAGTCGTGTTCTGATGAAGACAGTCCAGTTCTAACTGACTTTCCTCAAGATATAACGTCGCTCGGCAAGGAAACCGGTGTGTCACTTGATCGCCAGCATGATATGCGTGATCGTGCACATTCAGAATCTGGAGAAGAGCCTCATAAATGTAAGCATTGCGCTAAATCATGTTCTACACAATCCCGCTTAACATCTCATGAACGTGCACACCCAGAAGAGAAACCTTTTAAGTGTGCCGTGTGCGATACAGCAATCAATAGGCGTGATGTTCATGTCCGTCATGGAGGAACTCACTTAGGGAAGAAACACTTTACTTGCAAGTACTGCTCACGATCTTTCAGTGTGAAATACAGCCTTACTGTTCATGAACGTATCCATAACGGAGAGAAGCCGTTTAAGTGTGATCATTGTGACCAAGGCTTTTCCGACAGTTCCAATCTGAGAGTTCATAAACGCACACATACAGGAGAGAAACCATTCAAATGTGAATTATGTGGCAAGGCATTTAGGCATACTTCATCCCTCGCAAAACATCAACGCATCCATACTGGAGAGAAACCATTCAAGTGTAGCGTTTGTGACAAGGCGTTCAGGAGTACATCACTCCTTACAGATCATCAACGCATGCATACCGGAGAGAAACCATTCAAGTGTAAAATATGTGGAAAGTCATTCTCTCGGAAATCCAATCTAAATGCACATCAAAGAATCCATATTTGAGAGAAATCGTTCAGCGATTGTGACACGTCTTTCAATGGTAAAAAATTTGAAGGCCATGCAAAAACTAACAGCATTAAACAAAAGACTTCTTTTCAAGATAAAGGAAAATGTTCTTTATAGGTCCGTTTCAAAATGCAAGTATCCCAATCTGAACTCCATGCAAAAGTCACTGCTTACATGCTGACTTCTACATTAAATTTTGTAGCATCATAAACAACATCATTGTCATTGTTTTAGAGTTGATATATTGTACAGTTTCTAACCATGTTTCTCGATGCAATTACTACACGTATGTCCTTGTCTATCATTCGTAAAGAAACTTAGTTGCGCAAAACATGCGGCTCGTTTTTGACAAAATCAGAATTTTCTTCGCGCATCTTTATTCTTCTGCACGCATGCCGGGTATGCATCTATTTCCTACAACTTGAAAAGACGCTGTGCTGTTTTGAAGTTCTCATATGATGCTAAATAGGTGAGGGACTTTGTTCCTGAATGGAACATAATGTTCCTTAGTCCCATTTTATTGTTGTATAGTCCCGGTTTAGACCCTGTCAAAAATAAAAAATGGCTCTAACAAAATTAACTCCATTTTCTATTGCTCGATGGAAAGTTGCAAAAGGGAAATAATTACTCCTAAAGGGGGAAGCATACCCTAAAATCAAAATTTCACCAGTTGTAGTATTCTGGGTGCTTAGAGCGAGTTTGATTGGTACGACCTAGAACAGGATTCACCAGAACAATGCGTTTGGTCGGGACCGACAGAACATGTTCTGCTTGCTCCAGCCTCAAGGCCGGAGCAGACTGAGCAGTTTCACTTTTTCACAGTGAAACCCTGCGTGAGTATCGATTTTGGTCCCAAATGATCACGTTCATACCCTTTTGGGTTGTACTCGTTGTACCGTACAGAGTGACCATGGTGACCGGTACACACGTTCAAGCATGCACCAAGTTTGGCCCGTTTTTTTTCACAAAAATGTGCTGTGTTTCCGGAGTTTGGATGGCATGAGGCTGCTCCAAGTGCACCAGCTGTTCGATCCTGTTCTCGATCGTACCACCCAAACACGCCCTGAGTCGAATGGGCTTGGTCCGAGGAAGCTGAGACGCATCATTCCTCTTTTATTCCCAATTGAACTCTCGAACTTCCACCGAAACTGTGTGACTGCGCCCTACTAGATGGGGATTTGTATGCTAAAGTCACTAAAAGCGCCGTTTCATGCTTATAAAAGCACGGTTGTCCGCGATTTGTCTATATGGTGTAGTCTGGCATGTCTCAGCTTAGGTGATCTCAAAATCAAGTGTGAAGAGAAATATGGAAATGGGGATAGTGTGTGTGTCCGTGTGCGTGTTTTTTGCCCGCAAAAAATAGTTTATTTGCACACAAAAATATTTTATTTCAGTGATGGCGTGACTCCAATGGCACGACTCTGTACTCTACGAGTCGTAGTGTCGTAGTTTAGAGGTCTACCACTGATGATCGAGACCAGGATTGTTATTATTATTATTACACCTTCCAGTGGCTAAAGATGAAACAGTGCCAGTATACATGTAGATGAGGAGGAGGTGTTTGCCAGGCATGGCATAGAAAGAAGGTATAAGAAGTGTGGTGGTGCACCAATACCATGGTAAGTAACAGAGGAAAGGGAGCAGTACAGCCGACGTGAGACGACCAAGACTAAACAGGTATACTGACTATGGAATTCTGTTTGGAGATGGACGTTCCGGCAATGGATATGGCCTCCAACTATGGCCGTGTTGTGGGTGCAGGGATCATTTGTTCAGTCATGTTGGCAGCTTAACCGTCTGTAAGCTTGTGGATAGGATGTAGTTCTGCTCGATGCGACACTATGATCACAAACAAGTATTTCAATTTGCACAAATTCTACTCAGCATGGTGCGTATGGTATTGAACTCAGATCCACGCAAAGTTACTGTATATGGTTTCCTGTGTCACGCGAAACTTTAACCAGGTGCATTTTGTCCTCTGCCTTCACCTTTACTCGAAGAAAAAACACAACAATTCTGGAAGGTTTTGCAATGAATAATACAGCTATCTGGAGCTGAATAAAAGAGGAAACTTGTGCTCAGATTTACACCCCAGGGCCAGGGAGTCGTCAAATCTTTGCAGTACTGTATCTGACGACTTCCTAGTACCCATGTACACATGAAGAAACTCGTAATTTGTAGCATTGTTAATTTTTCAACTGAATTGATGATTCTGCTGTGTTTTATTTCATGTTGCCATATCTATTGCTTTGACGAAGGCATTCAGGTATAATTCATCCCTCGCAGTTCATCAACACAGATAGTTGTAGAACGTCAGTGCCGTCAATCAGTGACGTGCAATGTTATCGCACGCGCTTATTGTTATGGGCCCCCTTCAAGAAGACCATAGATCTGTGGGAACTGCCCTAGTAAAATATGAATAATAATAATAATGTAACTGGCTGTGTTAGTGGACATTATAGCATTACTAGTAGTTGTAGTGCCTTGGTCCTCTTTTTTTTCAATCAATTTAAACTTATCCTTGGCTCACTATCTGAGCCAATGCTTATTTTTATCTTTAAATTAGTTCTGCCGTCCGCTCTTGCAGTATTCTTTTGTACGCCGATGGCCGCACTGCATGTGCCGCTTGCTACTTGGTCGTCGTCTGCTCCTGCAGCACCGTCGTCCTCACTGCGTGCACGGGTTGCGATTCCGTTCCATTACACAGGCGGATGTCACGATGGCCACCCTGCCCGCTGCTATCCAGACAGTTGGAGGTGGCCCAGTCAAAATTCGACGTGTATCCCTTTGCGGCCTGTACACTTCGCATAATATGCGAACGTCCCCATGCCGTATTCATGGCGCCAGGGCCGCTACTTGTCCGTATGCGCGTAGCCTGGAAGCCCGTATCCTGCAACGCTCATGCTGTATTTTTCTTCTTCGGTTTTTGTCGGGCGCCACCGCTCAGTAGAGTTCGTGAATTGTTCGCTCTTTCTGCGTCGGCGAGCTTCCAATACTAGTAACGCGCGGTCCACTGCATGCTGTTAAGGCCCAGGCCTGAACACATTTGGTGGGTCTTTTGTAATTTCGTGTGCGCTGTATACATTGTGCACGGGCGAGTAGCACGGAAGCCTGATTTGACATGGACATGTACGTGTTCATGTGGTCGTGTGCCTTTTCGTGCGTGGGAAGCAATGATCCTAGACGCGTGGTCGACCATGGTCGACGTGTAGTTCGTGTGAGCTGGTACCAGCTCACACGAACTACGCGTAGATCTACTCAGCCAAGCTGCAAGTAAACTAACCTGGCGCACCACTTCCGACCGCACTGCCACTAGTGCCCGTGTGAAACCTCAAGTGCACTCCACATAAGACCTTCAGCATGCTTTGTGCATTCACACAGACAGTGGAAGGGCCGGGCTCGCATACTGATTCATATCGCTAACATCTACAAAAATGACCGACATCCATAGTCATACTGCAAGTACTGTCATGGACCGGGAAATCCGGGCTCGCGTCTAGCGGCCCCAGTCCAGGGCGCCGGCCATGCAGGCGTGGCCCCTGGCCTAAGTCGTGAGGTAAGCGGTACATACATGCATTTATTCGATGCAGTGCGCTGGTCGCATCGGATCAGTATGATTGTGCCCTGCATGCAACGATCCGTAGATCTACGCGCTGAGGGCGCCGGCCCGGTCATTCGACTGGATTTAGAGAATCTATGCTGATAATAGTAACCTGCTCTGGTGATCACCTCCCACAGCATGCTAGCACTACACAACGTATAGCGGCAGTGAGACTGCGCTCTTGACCTTGGTCTAAGTCGCACTACAACACAATGCTCACACGCAAGTACACTGTATTGCATCGAAGGGAAGGAAAAAGTGATTTTGACGTTACGCCTGACGCCAAACGTTGCGTTTCGAGCGTGCAACCCAAGAGAGTTTGTGGGCGAGAGCTGCGTTGTCGAGAATGATGCACGGAAACGTACATCATTGCTACTGGCCGGCAAGGAGAAAATCCAAGAGAAAAAAGTCTTGACAAAGAGCTTGCTGTTGCACTGCAACGTGAGAGAGGTGGTCTTCAGTACAGTTCAAATGTTGCAGGTGTGTCATCTCCTGGGAAAAGATAACGATTTTAGGGGCGACAATTGGCTGTGACACCACCACAATTTATGCGCCTTCGCAAGTATGTCTCTACAAAGTGGTTTCGGTGTTACGGCGCTGCTAGTCGCTCTGATCTGTTTGAGCGCACTCGCCGTGGAAAGTAAGTTAGTGTTCGTTGGTAATGTGAATTTGCACTGTCGTACATATTATGTTTCTGACTACGCTGCACATAAAAACATTATGCATTGTGAGCGTGTTACCTGTCAAGCATAATGATCGTACCTCGACGCAGGGTTGGACAATTAAACGCGCGTTCAAGCTATGTACCCAGCCCCATTTGGGAACTGATACCATTCTTGGTATAAATATGACCGAAAGCAAGCCAAAATTAAGTGTGTATACGAGTAAGAGTCATGACCAACTGTCCACCAATGACTATGTAACGGGATAATAATACCGTCAGCAAGTGCGACAGCAGGGCACAAACCTGGCAAGTAGTAATGAGACATTCAACAACCTGACACCTAGCTCCAACACAACATTGATTATTATTATCTGGTGACGTTGGTGGACAGTTGGTCATAACTCGTACCATTTTTGCAATTTGCTTAATTCCTCCAGGACTACATTGTCTCAACATCCGAGTAAAAATATTTACATGTACATGTAATTGACTAGAGAAAATTATGTCTCTTTACGAGGTAACCTAGATGATTACGAACATGTAATATGCTAATAAATGTTGCAAAGGAAGCTGTTATATCGGGCATAGGCATTGCGCGGTGTTTTCGTACATCGAATAATATGCCCACGACCAATTGAGCATATGCTTAAGAGATGAATCGATATTTGTTGCAATGCTGTCAGGTCCTTAACCCTTTCCATGCCATGGACGCGTATACGCGTTTTTTTAGTATGAGCCGATTGGCCACGGACGCGTTTACGCGTTCTGCCTACACTGTACAATGTACACTGTACAGTACATGTGTATCGCGCGCTATAGACGAGTGTACAAACTATCATAACTCCGTCCAAATATCTCGGACTGCTAAGGTTGAGACACCGCTGGAAAGGTATTGAGCTCAGCTTTCCAGTGATATAAAGTTCTTCGCGATACGACAAGGTATGACCGAGCGGCGATAAATTGAACGGCCAGAATGCGCAAATTTCATTTTTTGGCGATCGATTCAAATTTTTGTTCGCGACTTCGTGCGGGCTAGGGGATTTCCCCTAAACACAGCGCGTGCGCAGTCAGCTGCAACAAACGCGCTTGAATCTCAGCTTTCCAACGCAGTTTGAATCGTGAAAATCATTTCACAATGAGCAAGAAGACGAAAGAAAACATGAGAGGCAGTCGTTTTGTTACTTTCAGGCATGGTAGGGGGACTTTGAGAGGAGATGGAAGTGGCCCTGGTATGCCTGTCGCGCTGTGAGTCCCTGTAATGGCTTCCTGTTGTCCAGATCTTTCCAACAAGCCATGGATCGTGAAAATCCATCAAGGTATAGTGAAATAGCAACAAATTTCGTTCTGAGGTGCGCGTGCAGCTTTGAACAGTTGAGCTCAGAGCCTGAACAATGCGTGGCCAACACAGGAAAACATGCTGGCATGGAAAGGGTTAACGGATTAATGGGGTGGCTTGTATGCGCGCAAGACTTAGCAATACTGATCATAAGGTGATTACAATCTAAACTGCCCAGGTTCAAATGACAGCTGCATGGCCAGGATGATCATGAAGGCGGGTATTGCACGCGGCAAGGCACTGGACTACGAACAACGGGCACTGAGGGTACCCATGAACCTGGATAACATCTCTCAAATATTCTGGCCCGCGCTAGCTGTGTTCCTGAACAACACGAGGACTTTTGACGCTCGCACCATTCAGAAATGTATAAGTAAGTGAATCTCTCCTAGATACTGTATTTGCATGATATTGTTTGTAAAGTTGCGATCAATTCTGTACTGTTGAGCTACCCAAATTCAAATAAACATTTAAAAAAATAATCAAAAGATACAGCGCGACTCACACAATCAATGTCACGTCACATATTTCAAATCACCACTGTCTCCTTTCAATCTCAGTATCCCACGTGATCGCACTGTATTGTACACTAGGATCCGAGAGTAGTTCAAAACACGTACGTTGATCTACGTATACATGCATGCATGCAGGTAGAATGAGGACACTTTTCTGGTGCCGCTGTACTTCAAGATCAGCGCTGCAACTCGCCATGGTGATAATGCGGCTGACGTCATGTTACCAAGGAAAACATGGGGTTTGGCCGTGTTCGCCGCACTCAAGTGTTCAGCTTTTTTTCAAAATCTTGTTTTGAAAAATACTTCCAGTCTTTTGGCAGCACTTGGATTGGAGACCAGTCACATCGCAATCTGTACGAATATCATTATCATGGCCATTGTTTTGTGTCGTTTTGAGCCCGAATAGGTTTCTCTGACGAAGGATAAAGCTGCTCACTCGCAGAGCGCGGGGATGACAACGGACGGAATAAAAGTGTTGAGTCGTGTACGGAATTTCTGCTGACAAAACTTACAGTGATGAGCTCGGCGCGATCTGGGGTTTGTGAGGACTCCAGTTCTAGTTGGGCAATACCCCACGAACACATCTAGCTCGAAGCGCAGAGTCGATTGAGAAAAATGACCTAGATCATAAAGATGGCTTGTTTGTTTCCACAAAATGTTTTAGTAGCGGAGTCCATGCACTGAAAACTGCACTTGCCTTGTTTCTGTACATACATGTACACTGATAATGATACAGTACATCAGTACAGTCTGTATTTGCTTGATGTGTTACTCAACACGTCAGGTGATGCGGCCGCGAATCCAGCTAACTGTTATTTTCAGGGCCCACCACGACCATTCAAAGCGTCAATAACGGTCATTTGGATTTGACCAATCAGCGCACGGCAAAACGGGCCGTTCCTTGCACTTGTGGGGTGTTTTCTGAGCCGAACTTGGCTGTACTCGTTGGTTTTAGACATTAGGCCATTGGGAATTCCTGTTCAGAAGGTTTATCTTTGGCGGGTTACCGTCTCGAAATTTTCGATTCGGCTTTCGTTTGGCTGAGATCGGATGGTGAAATCACTCAAACTCGAAGACGTGGAAACACGTGAATGAGGACAAAATATAAAATCGAAGACGGGAAACCGATAGAGAATTCCAAGACCTTGAAAATAAGATATCGACGGTGAGAAACGGCCAAGTAGATCCGCTGAAGTATCTTTTCGAAGACATCAAGGTCGCCGCGCGTTCCCGCGTGCACGAACAAAACCTGGCAGCCATGCGCATATCTGCAAGTGCAGCAAGAAAGGACGGAGGAGACAGCAAAGGCTATCCAATTCACCAGAATTCGTGGTCTTGCTATTTTTCGTTTTCTCCGCATTTTGGGTTGAAATCTGAACATAAAAAGTAACACTGATGGCGTCATTCTGCTCATAATAATATTAGTACAAGTTGATGTCGGAAATCGATGACAACTAAGTAGGGTCCGGCGGATTCTGCCGCCAGAAAAATTGGCAGAATTCGGTACTTTTTCTGGTAAGTTTCATGCATGTTTGGTATGTGGATAAAGAAATGGAGCAGAACTCGAGGAATTTCCCGCCATAAGGTTTGTATGGTTCTGCCAATTTCACTGCTTTTCGAGCGGGATCTGCCACCTTTTCGAGCATTATTCGTCAATGCCTACCTACCGACTGTATCCTAAGTACATGTACAATGTACATGCATATTCTGGGATATCCTCATAATTATAACATTCAACTCTTCTTTGTCTTTTTCTATACAGTACATCCCCTTAACAAGTTCAACTTGTCTTTGCACCGTCAATAATAATTGATATTGGTATTAGACATTCGTCAGGCAGGCATAGTGGGATGGTCTAAGACCATGATTGAGAAACAGAGGGTACCAGGTTCAAGTCCTGCTTGGAAGCGGAAGGAATTTTTCCAGCCGTGCTGCGACCCACAGTTAATTGGGAACTCGTGGCCTGGCACGAGGGTAACATGGATGCAGCTAATGGGATTTCGGTCTTTGACCACTTGGTGGTGGGTCTGATCTACTCACCTCCCACCGTTTAGGCGCTGCATCTGCGCCTTTGATCCTAGAGGGTGGTGGCGTTCCCACGGCGGATGCGGAAAACTCGGCTTCCAGCCGAGTCTCACGCGAACCGTGAATAATAAATTTTATTATTCGTCAATACGTGGTGTTATGCCATGTCCTGGATTTGATCCGAAGAAGTGTGCAGCATCCTCTGAATACAGATTACGTACTGTCGTAAACAAATGTTGGAGCTTAGAGAGCTTCTCAGCCCATATGATCAATAGCACTAGTGCGACTTCATGAATAATAGCAGTCTAGGTTTATTTGGTTTGGCACGAAGGTAGTAAAGAAGTAGTTCAATACATCCATATATTTGCATAAGTTGTGATTTGGGGAACTGTACGCTATGCCTTAGGTTATCACTAGTGTAGGGTTTCATTTTATCAACTACATTTCACGCTTGTTAGGTTTCTCAAACTCAGTGCACCTCATACTTGCACCTTTCTCAAGTAGTTGCTGTCCTTCTTTCTACAGGTACATTATGACTCCGTGTACAGGTCGCCGCACTCGCGCATTTTTCGTTTTGTTGTTTCTAGCTACGTATCTTCTTTGCGCTGTTTTTAGCACATCTACACCGTGAACGTCTTGTTCCTTTTCTTTACTTGCGAAACCTTTCAGATGTTGTAGAATAAGAGTGTGTGTAGCAGTGAGCTTTCCTCTCTCGCTGTAGCATTTTAGATTCTTGGCGAAGAAGTGAAGAATTGTGCTTACTATTACTACGAGACTTGTTGCGTGCCGGTTGAGATCACCGAGGGTTCTAACCACCATAATTATATTGCTACCACTAGATGACACAAGTAAGATTTTCTATCCAGGGTAACATGATTACTGGTTCTAGTTGAACAATCCGTTGGATTTTCCCTGTGCTTCCGCTGTAGGACGAAAATTGCGGAAATGCAGAGGATTTTCACCCTGCGCCAACGGTGGGCAGTGCGAGCTGTCACCAGGGTCACCCTACGACGTATCATATGAATATGTATGCAAGTGCCAGGAAGGCTATCACGGAGCCCACTGCGAGACACGTAAGAGAATTGAACTCACGCATAGCCACTCTTTTCTGCAAATAGTATCAGTCACGCCAAGACCACTGGTTGGTCGAGTTGCTCCCTGTACACTGGCACGTCGTCCCTACGTCCGTGTGTCTTGTTTTGTGTTTTGTCTCCGCATGTCTCTCAGTCGTACGTATACAATAAATTATAATCTGTTCGCGTGTACCAACAAACACACCCATAGTATCCTTACGAAATGGAGGTTGCGACTTCGGCGATGATTTTTGTTTAGGAATGGGTTTGCTCCCACACTGGAGCTAGCGCTATTCCGCCGACGACTTGACAATTGACTGACTCACGACTGCCATCCAGAGAACACGAGAAGTCCATCAAACCTTCGACTCGGCAAACCTGCAAGAAAGCTCCACTCCCTGCTCAATGCACAGTGTTTCGTGGAATTCACCCCTCATCAGTTGAGCTTGAGTAGGCTGAGGAAGATGGTGCCTGAAGAGCACCACTTATATAGTGCTGTCCAGGCACAAACATCACCAGGGATACAAACTTACAGAGACACTCCGTTTCCAGCGCGACAAACACCTCGTGAACACCAGATAGCAGCGTGAGTCAGTTATCGCTCTTGGACGGTGAGAACAGACATAGAGGACCCTCGGTCATTCACAACGCTGTCACCTCCAAACAAGCTAGTCGCACGCCAGCGCTGGGCACAACAGTGCGAAATAGAGGTTGCGATTTCGGCGATGATTTTGTTTAGGAATGGGTTTGTTCCCACACTGGAGCTCGTGCTATTCCGCCGACGACTTGACACTTGACTGACTCACGACTGCCATCCAGAGAACACGAGAAGTCCATCGAACCTTCGACTCAAACCTGCAAGAAAGCACCACTCCCTGCTCAATACAGTCATACTGTTTCGGGGAATTCACCCCTCATCAGTTCTCGCTGAAAACGGAGTGTCTCTGTAAGTTTGTATCCCTGGTGATGCTTGTGCCTGGACAGCACTATATAAGTGGTGCTCTTCAGGCACAGTCTTCCTCTTCAAGCTCAACTGATGAGGGGTGAATTCCCCGAAACACCGTGTATTGAGCAGGGAGTAGTGCTTTCTTGCAGGTTTGCCGAGTCGAAGGTTCGATGGACTTCTCGTGTTCTCTGGATGGCAGTCGTGAGTCAGTCAAGTGTCAAGTCGTCGGCGGAATAGCGCGAGCTCCAGTGTGGGAGCAAACCCATTCCTACTATTATCCTTACTTGAATATATCTTTATAAATTGGTACAATCATGTAGAATAAGTCCTAAAGAGGAGGTTTTCCCGCCTGCTTCACTCTAAATCCCCTGTGTGTTGTTATGCTCTGTAAATTACGTAGTCAGTGTTCAAGTAGAGTCCCCGGAGACTTATTCTGATTCGTCAAATTGTTACATTACAAGCCACCGGAGCCGTAGTCGTATTGGTCCTTAGCGTCGGATACAAAGGAAGGGCTTTCCAGGCTGGCTTATGTTTCATTTCTCCGCTGAACGCCAGTGAGATATTAATCTTGGGATATTTTACCAGTAAACAGAACAGTTCACGATCAATTCTCCCTAAACCCATTCCATTTATTGTCCTGGTCTCCTCAGCATTGCCCACCCCCACCGACGATTCCCGGAGCTTGGAAGTCAAAGTTGCTCAGCTAGAGAAGCAGGTTCACGACTTGGAGGATAAGACCAAGGTTTGTTACAAATCATTATCACTCCCTTAGTATTGACTCCCATTGATTTTCGCTATACCTAAGCAGTCAAATATTCCTGCATATCTCACTCCTTAGGGCTATATTGACTGCTTATATTTGACTGCTTAGGGGTTGCGCAGCTGAACGGCGCCTAGTGCAGCATTGTCACTGCATGAGTAGGAGGTGGTGCAACGGTTATGCAATCATAAAACCTGGATTCGTGAGGTTATTGTTGTGGAATTTGAAATACGGACTGTTTGTCGTGATAAATCTAATATTGACTTCGTGCTTGGTCAATAGGAAATAAAAACCTCGTAAAAGACCGAGGCGAATTTTACTCGGCTTTTATTTCCTATATTGACTTCGTACTCAGTCAATATTAGTTACATATAAGACAAGCATACATAGTGCATATAGTCAAATCTATACAAACGTAAACCTGTTTTCTCTGTGAACATGCTTTTTAGGTTTGACATGAGGCCTAGATCCCTGGAGCAAGTCCTTGTGGTGACTGTCAATGTTTTTGTGGGCCTGTTTCACTGTTCAATCCCTCCAACTTACTCGATTACAAAAATAAGCTGTGCATACTTGGGTGAAGTATGATGATATGAATTGATCGACAGCAACGTAGTGACCAGTCATGAAACAGCAAGTATTTCAATACCAGAATTATCAAAATTGTTTCCATTCTCCTCGGAGAAAGCGGATAGTACATTCGGGTCTTATCTACTCCAATCCCACCACTGTAGGAGCTGCATATGCGAATCTATCCTTGTGGTTGCCGATAGCTCAGTCTAACTGAATCTCATGTGAGCCTGATCTGTTTGCAAGAATACGAATAATACAAATTGCTAAATTCAAACTGTAACTTCTCCTTTTTCTCTGTGTTCATTTGTTACAGTATCTAGGTAGCGGCTGCAACCTCCGGACGCTGGGTTACAAGTATCTGAGCACCTACAGCATCATCACGGAGAGGCAAGATGGACGTATTGCGACGATTGCGTTCACCAAGACGTTCTCGCACACCGTACTTAAGCTTTCGTATTCCACTAGCATCAATTCTCAGCTTCAATTCCCCAACGCCCGATGGTACTTCAAAATAGACGGGAAGGAGTGCGCACAGCCCACCACGATCGACATCATGAAAATCCAGGATAACGGAATGAGTTTGAGTACTCCAGGCACCCTGACTGGAATATGCGAATCAATCAGCTATACTGGTGGAAAGATCGCAACTGGAAAACACGAAATAGCCGTTCATTTTGAGAATTTGGACTCTGACGTCAACACTTACCACGGCTTGCTGTCAACGTCCTTACTGGAAGTACAGGAAATGTGCCCGCAGTTTTAAACATGGGCAAGGAGACGGGCAAAGTATGCAGCTAGCCTTTTGGTGATATCTCAGTACTTGTTCGTCATAATCTACAGATACTCGACGTTGAAAAAACTGGAAGGTTCCAGGCTGTCCAAGAGAGTGTTCAATACCGATTAGTGCGTGAAACTCGGAGTTAAAACATTTTCTCTGTCGTCTTACTGTTTTAGACTCGACGTTGATCTTGATATCCAGCTCACCTATGTTAGTGCAAGGTTTGCTTTCTATTGATCACGCCTTACACGATATTGTTCGGCTCCATTCTGCCGTAGTAGCATAGAGTATAATGCAGACGGTATTTTCTCCTCGTTTGCATAATGAGAGGGATGCGAAGTGGCCGTCAAATCACATTATAGGGACACTTATAGAAGTAAATACCGAATCTGCACGGGAATCTGGTCGGCTATGAGTATATAGATGAAGAACTGCATTCATTCAGTGAGAAATTCATCACTCTGCGTAGAAGCAGACAGCGTGCTCTCTGGTTGTCAGAATGCCAGTACACAGAGCGCTGGAAGCGTTTACACCTGTGTCCGCCGATGTTGTCTGAAACACGGCATTATATGATTTGCTAGTATCTATTTGTATTTGTGTGTATATACACTTTGCTATTGTGATCCTAGCTCATTTGCAAAGAAAATGAGACCTTCTTGCGTGATGAGTTGTGAGAGATTGTCAGGTTTATCAGCGTACACCAAACCGAAATTACCAGGTCCGTAGAGGGCTCAATGTACCGAAAGCAACGAGCGGAATACACAAACAGAAAAACGAGCAGTTGTTGTATCGTAACTCTGAGTTTCATGACTTGAATCGATCATCAGGTGAAAAATGTATCTGACCCTGCCTTCAGAGTACTGCTATGTTTACAATGTACTGAAGTACGTGGGACGCCCAGGGTAAAATCCACATGTAATTGGTAGCTCGATATGGAGATTGTAGAAATTTATCTAAACACCTGTGGCAGTTGAAGTGGGCAGGCAAGCTGCATCCAGTTGCAAAGTCGACCGCCCAGTCTGCAAAGTCAAAGGCATACAAAGAAGCTACTCATTGCCAGTGCAGATAAGGTCAGTTGCCTCAATAACGATCCCAGTACTAATGGAGCACAAGAGAACAAAACTTTATACTTCTTTTTTAGTGGACTGGGATGGAGAGCCAAGGATTTATTTATACAAAATAAAACGGACCTAGGAGCTACAAGTTACTATATAATGTCCACTAACACCACCAGGCACTAAACAATCGGCTCATGCGATAACATTGCAAGACACTGACCGACGGTACTGATGTTCTACAACTAACTGGCTAACAACTCTAGCACAACTTGGTTGCGCACTCCCACAGTCTTTCAACTCGTAAGGTTCTAAATTATAGAAATAATGTTTTTCATGATGTCTTGTTCGCAGAGCTTCTCCTTCTATAGACCTTCGCACCTTTTGAGCCACAGAAGTTGTCTGGAATGTTTCTTTGCGTCCTTGGATCGTGGTTTGACCGTATTGTCCAATGGTCTTGTCAGTATCGTCATCGATATGCATGAACATCCGCCAACGTCCTTCACAGCTGAGACTTTCAGCTCGTGCTTATCTTGGTTGCGCTCACCTTCCTCTCCTTATGGTATTTCATGTAACCTTTTGGCCAAAAGTTCCAAAAGTTACATGTTATCCCTAGTTTGTGTCCAACACTAACAGCTATAAGCAAAATGTTGTTTTTCGTTACTTGTCACGCCAATGATGTCATGTTTTGTGACTGCCGGTATTTAGTATCATAATTTATTAACACAATTTGAAGGATTAGTCAGGGTTGTGACTGCCTGGAATAGGAACAAAATGCCAACCCGATGATCACTCGAACTCGAACTTGTACCTGGGAGGTTGCTTGTTATGAGTTTTCCTCTAACAATCTGAGCTTTGAGAAAAGGCTGAACCTAGAATTTGCTGACAAGTGTTTCCCTCCAAAGGCAGTCAGTATGTGTGGCACGCATTGTGCGCCCTTGTTCATCATCTTATCACAACCTTCATACCTGGTTCCCTGTGATATAATTATTTTTACTTGTTTTCGACTTGAGTGTGCTGACCTTCCCCTTTCTTACGTCATGTCGTAACGTATGACCTTTCAAGGTGGAGAGAAGTTGGTTTGCTCATTCTAGACGAGATGCCGCTAGGTATCAGCTTCAAAACTGTGTCGGCGCGTTTCTTGGTGAATGTGATCGACGCTATCTGCCCTACGTTCTTTTTTGTGAACAAATTGTGATGACTTTGATATTTGTATCCCACAGTCCTTTGGTTGCAACCGTTTCCCAAGAGCTGAAGGTCAAAACAAACAAAAGTACACCTGGGCTGGTCTCTACATAGAACACACAGCTGAGCAACTTGTACGTGTAGTTGCCTCCTCTTGGGATTAAAATGTGCGACATCACTTTCTCAAGGCACAAACAGTAAGCATATCAATTACATTAATTTTACTCTTTTTTTAAAGACAGGCGTAACATGTGACATTGCCCAACTATTGCAGTGGCACTATCTAGAATCCAGCATACTGTATTTGCCGGAGTATTGCCCTTTTTAGATGCGGCATTTCAGGCCCCGAATCGTAAGTGCGCACCATGCTCCGAATATGACAATGCATGCACGTCGAAAAGTAGTGCGCATTATAAACCGGATATACCTTGAATTGACAGAACGCTGGCCAAAAAGGGGCGCGCATCATGCTCAGGCGCGCATTATATAAAAGTATTCACTGCAATACTTACCGCTTTTTGCCATATTATGTAAAATGCTGTAATCATTGCAGTAAATTTCATAGCGCGACACTACAATTTCGTATTGATGGAATGTAGTCGATTACTCCTACATGACAATGACAAAGGACAAAGTTCGTTTCCGCTGTTTGTCATTGTCTGTTCTTCAAAGTTCTGTTGCTGGAGGTCGTGGCCGAGGCAGGCCCAGAATGTCATGGCTTGATAATATTATTTCATGGGCTGCACATGACGTGCACTCCCTGCTCGCTGCTGCACGCGATCGATTTTTATGTCGCTAGCTTGTTCATACTTGCTCTGTGACGCCCCGACGGCCTTAGGGTTATGGGTTTGTGATCATGATGATGATGTTGACTTCTACATGAACGTGAAACACACCCTTCCTGACCAACTTGCCCTGGACTAGCGACTTCTAACTCTAACTCACGACTTCCCTCTAGAGCACATTAGGAGTCCATCGCAAATTCCTTATAGTGATGCAATGCAATACAGAATAAATTCACCGACCACTGTACCTGGGTGCTAGCGCTCAGTAACTTTCGGAGGTCAGCCACTTCAGTTTGCATACTTTTAAGTTCGATGATTGAGGCTGGACGGACTGTAATTGACAAATCAAAGAAAGAGATTTTGTGGATATGTGAAATGTTGTAACGTGATGAGTTGTACTTGTACCCAACGTGCATACCTGCATATTATTATTCAGAAAAGTGCCGATTCAGCAAACTGCTTGGCACGGGTAATAGAGAGGTTCTGCACAACGAAAATTCGAACGAAGTTTCGAGACAGGCCTTGCGAAAATGTGTACGAATTTTCGCACGAACTTTGTGTTCTGCACATTTTCGTAGTTTGCACGCGCCAAATGCACGTACGACATGACCCAATCTCACGAAATTTCCTGCGAAAGTTCATTTCGCGTTCCCTGCAAGTTTCGCGTCCAAAGTTGCGAAAGTTCATGCGAAGTTTCTCACTTCGTGACGTAGAGCGAAAGTTCGTACACATTTTCGTTTTGCAGAACCTCTCTAATGTTTGCCAGTACATGATGACATTTTTAATTTCTCTAACTTGTTATTGTGTGAGTTGCGATTTCTTATACGTACCCATTAAAAGTTACAAGTGACAATAATAATTATTGTCACTTGTCAAAATAAAAGCTTCTGTGAAGTCTGCGCATATTGGGGATTATTCATTGGTTTGAGGTAAAGATTCAAACTGGAAAAGTCTCAAGAAACAATTGACTGTGACCACCTGGTACCGAGCTAGGGACATTAGCTTGAGGCATATAACGAGAACGGTAATCACAAGTATCGAGGATGAACAACCTAAGACGCTTGGGAAGCTGTTTTCCTTCTGCTTTTCTATAGCACCCTCATTAGAGCGCAATTGCAGGATGGAAGTTTTGAAATAGAGCAATTTAGTTCGTACAAGTACAACTCCTCCAGAGCTAAATAAAAATCAACTAGCGACTTCAAACAAGATATTAACTCTGTTAATCTCCATATGCTCACTATGCTCACATTGGCTCAACTAAGCTTCAGGCAGAAGTCCCCGGTGAAATCAGTGTGGCACTTGCATACATATGACTTTTTAGTGGGCGACAGCTGACACACTCCACCGTTCGCGCATGGAGAGTATGTCTTGCAGGCCTTCGATGATTTCCCTGAATCCATTCACACACATGTACATGCGCATGCACGTCGCAGGTTATAATCAACAAAAGGGCTCAAATAAATTAACACCAGAAAAACATGTGCACCGCCCCCCCCCCCCACACAAACAATATAAACACACACACGCACACACACACACACACACCCACACATACATACTTCAAAGTAAACATACCCATCAACACACATAAACACACGCACACGCACACATAAACACAAGCACACAAAAACCTACATGAACACACACAAATTAACAAACAGATACACACACACACATAAACACATAATACACACATATATACACATAAACACAAAGGTTGCGCTGATGAGTTCAAAAAGAACGAAACAGCATGCTGTCCGCAGATTGAGTATTTCGCTCCTGCTCTTGTAGCAGTTGAGCACTCTTGCGTGGGGTAGTGCCTTTGCTGTTTGCGTTATGCAGAGCTCACTGACTTGTCAGTTTGAGCACTCTGGCAAGGTACGTTCGGGCCTGATTGGAAATTTTTATTTCCATTGCTATCAGGTTCGACCCCATTTCCTCTGTGCTGCGCTGATGAGTTCAAAAAGAACGAAACAGCATGCTGTCCGCAGATTGAGTATTTCGCTCCTGCTCTTGTAGCAGTTGAGCACTCTTGCGTGGGGTAGTGCCTTTGCTGTTTGCGTTATGCAGAGCTCACTGACTTGTCAGTTTGAGCACTCTGGCAAGGTACGTTCGGGCCTGATTGGAAATTTTTATTTCCATTGCTATCAGGTTCGACCCCATTTCCTCTGTGCTGCGCTGATGAGTTCAAAAAGAACGAAACAGCATGCTGTCCGCAGATTGAGTATTTCGCTCCTGCTCTTGTAGCAGTTGAGCACTCTTGCGTGGGGTAGTGCCTTTGCTGTTTGCGTTATGCAGAGCTCACTGACTTGTCAGTTTGAGCACTCTGGCAAGGTACGTTCGGGCCTGATTGGAAATTTTTATTTCCATTGCTATCAGGTTCGACCCCATTTCCTCTGTGCTGCGCTGATGAGTTCAAAAAGAACGAAACAGCATGCTGTCCGCAGATTGAGTAAACACAAAGGTCAAAAAGAATGGTTTCACCAATTATAGAAACATACGTTGTAACGCTGCGTTTCATGCACGTAGCTAAATGCTAAGGCAATCATCAGACAACTAATGCTTTTGTCGCGGGATAGCTTGTTCTTATTGTGGGGGATACGCATGGGCATGTAGAGGAGGTGTGAGCTATCAATGCAGGGCATGCATGGGAAGAGCGAGTGATAATAATTACATCACTGGATGGGCATGCGCAGTAGGCGCGAGCTATGCATGAAGCGTGCAGAGGCGGAGAAACCACCAGGCAGGACAAGGGTAAGCCATGGGGGCACTGGGCAGGGGGTGTGATGTGTGGCGGTGGAAGCACACTGTGGTGTCCACATTCAACAGCCGCGGGTATTCAGAGGATGTGGCGGTGACAGTGGTAGCACGCGGTGGCTATGTCACGGCAGAGTAGGTGGAGAGGTAGAACTTGTTTTGGTGTCTGCACTTTGATACCAACTCCGACCTCTTGTTGAGCAGAGTGTGAGGCGTCTTGAAGGTGATGATGCGCAACTTTTCTGCTAAACACAAGCAGCACCTTTTGGATATGTTGCTGTAGGACTTGGCCCGATCTATGACTGCCCATTTGATGCTGTATCCCTCACCTTGGTCAGCCAGCGCCCATGTGTGCTTGGATAGCTCGGTCTTGGTACGGTACTTTTCATGCCGCATGCTGGTTAGATGGTTGCCATGGCGCACCTTGAAGGGCGTCTCGCACAGGCCGATGTATTGCCTTTCCTCGCCGGTGCTTGGGGTTGTGACGGAGGCCCGGTACACCACTTCCCCCTCCAAGCATCCGCCGCCCAAAGGGCATGATGGCTTGGCTCGGCAGTTGCACCCTGCCGCAGATCTCTCTTCACCAGGCGTTAGTACCTTTTGGTTATGTCCCTTCATCAGGTAGGACATGTTGGGCATGCAGGAGTAGCTCAGCTTCAATGTGTTTCTGTTGAAGATCTTGTGTAGTGGCGACGCGGCAGGGAAATGTTTGCTGACTAGTTTGAATAACCTCTGGCCGTCACCACAGTGTGCTTACACCGCCACACATCACACCCCCTGCCCAGTGCCCCCATGGCTTACCCTTGTCCTGCCTGGTGGTTTCTCCACCTCTGCACGCTTCATGCATAGCTCGCGCCTACTGCGCATGCCCATCCAGTGATGTAATTATTATCACTCGCTCTTCCCATGCATGCCCTGCATTGATAGCTCACACCTCCTCTACATGCCCATGCGTATCCCCCACAATAAGAACAAGCTATCCCGCGACAAAAGCATTAGTTGTCTGATGATTGCCTTAGCATTTAGCTACGTGCATGAAACGCAGCGTTACAACGTATGTTTCTATAATTGGTGAAACCATTCTTTTTGACCTTTGTGGTTACGCTCCGCCCCTGTGGTGTTGAGCACTGTTGAAACCTGGGTATACCCACTTATGTACACATAAACACATATACACGCACACGCACACAAACAAACAAACACTCGCATACAAACACACACATACCCACACATAAACACATTCACACACACACAAAAACGTACGCACACACATTCACGCGAAAATACACACGCAACACGCAAACTTACAAGTACCAACACACACACACACACAGACGCACGCACCACACAAGAACCAAAGACTCGCAACATCAACAACTATCAAAACGATGTGGACAGATCAACGATTCCTGTTGCTAATACCGGTGTATATTGGTAGGGGACGGGACGGGTTTTGCAAAGGGAAAGCAAATTCGGATGTAGAACGAGACTTACGGATGCAACCTTGAACAGCGTTCGCTTCAGCAAGAGAGCCTCTCAGTACGTATCCGAGGACGGCCAGATTCATGCTGGACATGATACGCTCCGGTACTGGTACCTGTAAGGCGTTCTTCTCGAATTTCTGAGCTTTTGAGTGCGTGATGCCGGCTTTCACCATACGTCTCACCATACAACTTTCACCCTTGCCTGCAATAAACACATACAAGTACGAGCGTCGAACTGTAACCCGAAATCTATACGCAGTCGCTTCCTCCCACGCTGATTCTTTCCTCGATTAATTTCCAAACAAATTTCTTTTTTGTCTTACCTTGTACAAGGTGAGCACGGGCCATGGTGACTGCTAAACACACTAGCACGATCGTGTTGATAGCCTGCATGACGGCAAAATGATATTGCAGAGCGTAAACCGATCAGATCTGAAGCAGGGCAAGTTGGGGACCTTCGCTTGCACGATGGGACTCGGACTGTACTCCTTCTTCGCAGAATGTCGCTGATTGGGCCTGAACTGTTCAGTTTTCGATTGATTCTCCAGTTTTATAGTGTGATCGTAGACAGCGGCCATGCATCAGTTTCATTGGTAATAGTCATGTTGTAGGAAAATGAGGTACTTCACGTCTATAGTGGATCTCGTGATGTGAGTATTCGTGATCACATTAAGATGACAGAGGCTGCGTTTCAATGATGATGATGGAAGGAAAATGGTGTCCAGTGCGCTGGGAAGGAGTGGGTAAACCCCAGCTCTCTAGCTATATGTCTCACCACTTGTATTCAGTGTTACATGGACAACTGTGTGTCTGTGACTGTGGGTCTTCTTAGAAATAAGAAAACAATGCCGCTATAGTTCACCTCATGCAATGCGAGAAATTGTGCTGTGTTCTGGTCGCTACATCCTGGTCTTGTGAATTTCTTAGTTCATTCAAACGAAACGTCCCCGTTTCTCACGAACTGCCGTTATGCATAGAAAAGTACATTTACCTAGTATACTCATAATAACTAAAGTGTGGCACAACTCCAGTCCACGGTTTCCTGGTTGCTTGCTCACAATGCAGCCAGGACTCGTGCATCTGTCAACGACAGCTCCAATGAACTGACAATTTGTGACAGGTCCGTCTGTCAGCTATGGGAGTTTGACAGCTGAACCCAGACACCACACGAATCTCTAGTGAAAAGCGGAAAATATTTCTCCAATGACAAATTCGCACGTGCATTATTATAATTATACTATACGACGCAGCCACTATCTAGGCCATGGAGAGTGTAGGACAGTGATAGGGAAACCAAAGTATGAAAACAGTAGAATAATGAGTACAGGGTGAGAGAAAAGGCAGTAACCGCGACGGGTTTTATCCTGGTAGGGCGATATAGTATGCAGAGAATATTGGGAGAGGCAACATATTTTACTAGTGTAAGAAGGAAGCTCTTTTTTCTTCTCATTTCGTACAGGTTGCCAACAGCAATACAGAGCTGGCCCGCACACTCCATGGACATGCAAGGGGAATGTCGCAGCTACCTAGAAATCAGAACTGAGGACACATTTCTTGAACTTCTAGGATAGACGTGGTGTGCCACTGTGAATGGCCATCCGCAATGGGACGCGTAGACAATTGGCCAACGTGAACCGTAATGTTGTGGTGTCCAGCTGATAGAGATGCGCCGTTTTTAGCAATGGATTCGCAGATTCCTGTCAGGACGGCGGGAACGTGAGTGTTGTCGTTCGTATCCTGCCGCATGCCAATATCAATAGGCGTTGGCTGACGGCACTCCTTCCCATCGATCTTGAAGAACCAGCGCAAGTACTTTCTGGCACCTCGTGTACGGATGTTACTAGAGTAGGACAGCTTCAAAACGGTGTCGGTGCGTTTCTTGATGAACGTGATCGACGCCAATTGGCCACGGTCCTTGTGATCAAACAAATTGTGACGGCTTTGATATTTGTATCCCAAGGTTCTCAGGTTGCAGCCACTTCCCAAGAGCTACATTATCAAACAATATCAAACACATACACAAGTGAACTCAGATGGGGCGCCAAGTTAGAAGGCTGTTGGAGAGCGCATCCAAGATGTGCTAGAGCTGTAAGCCAGTTAGTTGTAGATCGTCAGTACCGTCGAGGTCAGTGTCGTGCAATGTTATCACATGAGCTGATTGTTTAGTAACCGGTGGTGTTAGTGGACAGTATAGCGTAACTTGTAGTTCCTTGGTTTTTCTCTTTTGTATCCATACACAACTAACTGTAAATAAGCATCAAGGTGAAAACACTTTTAGAATTGGGATCAACAGAACGAGCTGACCCGACATTTCACAATGGCTTCCCTGTTCTTCACCGCCTGCGAATCCACTCGTGTTTTGAAAACAATAATTATAGCCTTTGTGAAATGTCGGTCAAGCTCGTTCTGCTGATCGCAATTCTAAAACAAGTAACTGATCAAGTTTCCACATGTTTGCCTCCAATCGGGATTAGCCAATGTGACAGCACAGGTAAGTACAGGCATGCAGTTCAACCACATGTACCCATTTGAAATTTTTTATGTCATAGAACTAAAAATCAGCCACACCTAGAAACCAACACAATTCTACTAGTGATTTTTTATCCGAACAACTGGCATTTTCGAAGCGATTTCTTCATCTTCTCAATCCTTGGTTTCCATTGCGGTAGCATAAATGCTTCGTATAATATCTAGTATACGAAACGCAATGCCAAATTTCGATTTCCTAGCTCAAAACTTTGATAACCGCTATTTCAGAAATGATTATCAAAGAACGAAAATATCCGTGTCCGTTCTGGAGGAATTGCACCACTCACTACCACCGAATAAACCATAACTAGAAATATGAGTAAATAAGACTCAGCTAACTTACCGCCGTCTTGTTTGCTTGCTTGTCCAGGCTTTTCTCCAATGATTTGATCTTTCTCTGCATTTCCGCGACATCGTGGACGATTGATGCATCAACTAATGCAGTGCATAAAATGAATAACGAACGAAGAGTAAGGAAAGTCGCTTTATCAACCTCATGCACGCTAATATTCTCACAAGTGAAGTGAAGTGGGAAGTATTCCACAGTTTGGCACCAAGCAGGCTGGTGAGATATTGTACTGGCAGCGCGGCAACATCTTTACAGAGCCGAAGCAATGTAACTGGGGTAGTGTAGGTATGAGCACACAAATAATAGTACTTCGAAGTATTATGGAAAAGAAAAGGGACCAAGGAGGTACAAGTTACGCTATAATGTCCACTAATACCACCACCACCATCTAAACAATCAGTGTCGTGCAATGTTATCGCATGAGCTCATTGGTTAGTAGCTGCTGGTGGTGTTAGTGGACATTGTACCGTAACTTGTAGTTCCTTGATCCTTTTTCCTTTCTAATAATATGCCCTTGGCTCTCCATCCGAACAGTTTTATGAAATGTGTCTTCTTACAAATCACTTGTGTACTCGTACTTGAAGTTCGTTTCAACTCCTCACCTTCCCTAAAACACAATTTGCCTACGACTATAGGTTATACTATACTCTAGAGTGTGAGGTGTCTGGACTAAGTTGATGCAACCAATATGGCTGTGGACCAATATGACTGTGGATCAACCCCGCGGAATAATGACAGTACTTGACAATCTATGTCAAGACGCACACTAAAGAATTCGGAAACTATACCAAAGAAGAGGAGATAAACTTCGAAATGCCAAGATGGTTATCGGCAGTCATAATTATTCAATTTGAAAGATTTCGTCAATCACAGTTCTGACATTCAAGTGCTATGACGTTGTACAGGTACTGTACCGACTACGCATACAGGGCTATGTGTATGATTGGAGATAAAACAAAGAGCACGTACAGACTTACCATCCTGACAATATTGACCGCTGTAACTCGTCGGACACCGGCATACATATGCGTTGACATCCAGTCCGGTGGTGAAAAGGCACTGTCCACTATTGAAACAAGGCCCTGGATATGAACTGCAAGCTGTTGAACGGCCCGCTGTAGAAGAGTTCACGAAGCAGATTATATCCATGTACACTTTACACAGCCTGAGTGCAGACAGCAACCGTTGGAAATCTATAGAAAGGTGGCCCAAATTCGGTTTACCCTTATTGGGGTCCTGCATAATTGGTATTGCTTTATGAAGCCTTCGAATCACCTGATGAAAAGGTGACTGAATCCTCACAGTTATTGCGATGCGGTTATGGATGTAGCTGAAAAACAGACAGCTAGAGGGATTCTTTCCCACCCTTTCCACTCCACATACAATGTATAGGCAAAAACGCGCGATTCAACTTGGAGTTGCATAAAGGACCAACCGGCATTATCGATAATTTTCACGAAACGAAAAAGTTTAGATTGGACTCTCCCCCACCCTGAACGAAATATAGATTGACTTGAAAAATTGAAAGCATTGATGTCTCACATAAAAAAATTTTCGAAACGAAACTCTACTTAAACCACGGACCCGTAAAAGAAACTTTTTCTTATTGTGTAAAACATCGGAAATTATGGAGGGCCCTAAGTCCGTTAAATCCGTAACGCTTTTGACTTCTTCATTTTGACCTCTGTTTATAAAGATAGTGGGTACCTATTATATTATCAACCATAGGGATTAGAGATTCTACCGGTGGCAAAGGTAGAAACTGGTCAGTGTGCTAGAATGCCAATGCCAAATGTTATTCGGAAATCATTCTCGTCCACCGCCAGGCCTGGGGGAATCAATTTCAGATGTTGAATCAGAGAGTAATGTTAGGCCAAAGCCACTGAAGTTACTGAACCATGAAAAAAAGGTTAATCCGACAGACCAACAGGCATATTTGAAAAGCAGTCTCACCAATGCAGTCCTGTATGGCCACAACATGATCAGTTGGACAATTCAGCAGCCATGCTAGCGTCGCCGCCCGCCATGTTTCAATCTGAGCCAGGCTCAATGGAATATCGAGCGCAACTCCTTCGTAGGCCAGGGCGTCGCTGAGGTCGATGCCCGCATGAAGCATCAATTGCACGAAGCAGCTATTCGGGGGAGTGCCAGATCCACCTGGAATGAAAAAAAAATCATTTTGCTCATTTCCGAGCTCATTGATAGCACACGGCCAGGACTCTACAGTCTCTCATATATTGGTGCTGGCCGCTTTAATTCATGCACTACCCGATGTCATACGGTCTAGCATACCTTGCCTGCTTTTCGCGTTAGCTGCCTAAGATTTCTCCATGGGTACCCTGTAAAGAAGACCATAGGCCTGTTTGGTATACCCAAGTAACATAATACAAAACGCAGTGAGTCAGTTCAATTATTTTTTTTATTCTGAAGTGACGTATGCAGCCACGAGGCTGTACATGTACTTGGAAAGTTCGAGTTGAGGTGCCCTAGTAACTTTGGCAAGAGTTGTCGAAACTGTTGAAAGAAAATGGCTGCCTACTGATAAACAAGCAGGCATTCACTGTCCACAGCTCCCGAATAAAGCCGTCTGTTGTACATACCTTGCACTTCCTCTGAGTCACTGGC